AAATGTGGATATTGTAAAGAAAAGCAACATATTCCTCACTTCTGTGACTTGAAAGTCTTTAAAAAATCGGTCAAAGCGCGATCAAAACAACCAAGCTCTTATCAATAATATGCGAGGAGCTTACAATATTTATTGACGATCTTACGAGCAAGCTGTAATCCAGCATCCATCTTTTAGATTTTTATGATGATTATTTGAACCGATCAAGCAGTAACTCTTTGTACTCGTCTTTTCTTTGTAGAGATAATTTCATATCTTGCTTCGGTTTCCTAACTATCCAGATACCCTTTTTCTTCCAAAGGTGAGCGGCTTAAAGTTTATTTCAGAAATATTTAACGCTAAAATATATCGGTTTGAGATTTGGCATATCTTAATGATAAACATAACATCTTGTTGATCGATCCGTTTACTCTCACCATTTGATTTCTGTAAGGTATCTTGATATTATAAGGAGAAACTACATATCCATCATTTCTTGAATGATGCAAAATACGAAGATTTGGTATTTTATTTAATACATGTTACAGGCAATCTAGAAAACAATTTTCTTCCTTAGGTCTTTTTTTTCATGATTTCTTCTTACCAAACGTGTGAGTAGAATGTTCTTAAATTAGTTTTTCGCAGTTACGTTTATTTGGCAGCGAAAGTCTCATTTCACTCTCTTACTTTTGTTTTTATTAGCCACACCATCGGGAGACTAAAGAAGGCATTGTTTTCAGAGGTGAGCTGTTCGCCTTTTTTAGCTCTGTATTGTCATTGCTTCCTTAGTTTCATTTTCCATGAATAAAACTTACAGTACTGTTTAATTAACCGAAAAAAACGTTCGGAAAAGTTGGCATACGAGTAAATTAAGCATTAAAACGCGAGTGGAATTCTTGGGGAAAATTTCCCTTTCCCTTGAAAACAAAGCTGACGGATGATTTCCAATCGTCTTCTAGACGTTTTAATTACCTGCCAACGATAGGCTTATATAAAGATTTTAAAAAGCAGGTTGAAAAGATGGATTAGTAATGAGTGACACTAGTAATACATTTGGTTTACTGCATCACAAACCAAGGGTTAGAACACGGACTCGCCTTCGACGCATTTCATCAGGACAGGGCTTCCGGTTAAAACTAAAGAACGATTACATCAAAAGTCTCTCTGTATTATTTTATCTTCAATTGAATGAAATGTTTTAAGTTTTATTACAGCCATTTTGAAATCGCTGGTAGTCCCTGTAATCTGATTGGCTCTAATTAATGCGATTTATTAACGAATCGCACCATTTTTTTGCTTTAAATCGCATCTTTTTCCCAGCCAATGAGGAGGCTACACTGAAAACAAAACAACCAATTAGATTTCAAGGCTTGTTTAAAGCAACCGATCAAACTGCCGAAAAATTAAAAATAAAGAGTATCATGTGCCAAATTTTGCAACTTTTGTCTCTAAAACTCTTACTTTTCCCCCCCAAAAACTGGATGAATTTAATCTCAGACCGGCTCAGTGCTGCATCAATAAAATATTTGACCTGATCAAGTCCTGTATTTGGGCGATTTCAAAATGGATGGAATAAAGTGGTAATTGAACCTCGTGTCGTGCAATTTTGGTCTCAAATCATACCTGTGATTTCAAATCACGCGTATGATTTCAGCCCTAATAAAATACATGGAAAAATTACTCAGCTCATTTCCTGGTTTGGAAAAATAAAATTTCCAGGTAATTCAGTGCAGAGGAGAGTTAATTCAGTGCAGAAGAGCGTTAATTCAGTGCGAAGAAATTAAAGTAACAAATCAGACATTCTGATTGGTCAATAATCAAAGAAACTCACAGATAGCCAATCTAATGCGAGCCTTGGATGTTGGAACAAAATTTGGAAATTTGAAAATTTGCGAGCGAAACAATGGCCGGCGTTTTAAGTAGGTTTTCTTTCGTCACCGCAGCTGAAAAACAGCTCAAACATCGAAAACACTGTAAAAAGCAATGCTTTTTGGTTGTCGGTTTGGAAAAAGTGGTGTTTAGAGAAGGGAATTGCCAAAGAAATCGAAAATTACGAGCCGAACCAGCTTAACACTTAGCTCGAGCGATCCAACGCCGAAATTAAAAACAAACATGGTTAAATCGTAATTGGCCAGAATGAGTTCATTATTTTTCCATAAAGCACGCGCCTTACGTCACACTAGTGCACTGAGATATAATGCACGCAGCCTACGTCATCGGTACGAGCGCGCGCAATTCACGATACATTTTACAAACAAAGTTAAAAAGCTTGTTCCTCGAGCATTGCTGAGTTATATAAGCACTTGGAAATTTTTAAGAACACTCGAGAAGTGCAAGAAGCACTCGCCCTCGGCTCGTGCTTCTCCGCACTTATCTCGTGTTTTAAAAAATTCCCGCGTGCTTGTATAACTCAACAGTGCACCCAGCGCGTTTTTTATTTCTTTATTATAGGCAATGTAGAGAACAATTTTTTCCCTATTTTTTTGGGTATGGTTTCTTCTTACCAAACGTGTGAGTAAAACGTTCTTATATTAGCTATTTGCAGTTACGTTTGTTTGGCAGCGAAAGTCTCATTCCACTTTCTTACTTTTGTTTTTATTAGTCACACCATCGGGAGACTAAAGAAGACATTTTCTGTTTTCAAAGGTGAGCTTTTTTTTTATTTTTAGCTCTGAATTGTCATTGCTTCCTTAGTTTCATTTTCCACCAATAAAACTGACATTACTGTTTAATTAACCGTAAAAAACGTTCGGAAAAGTTGGTACACGAGTAACTTTAGTATTAAACACGAGTGGAATTCTTTACAAGGGGAAAATTTTCCTTTGTCTGGAAAACAAAGCTAACGGATGATTTCTAATCGCCTTTTAGACGATTTAATTGCCTGTCAACGATAGGCCTATATAAAGATTTTAAAAGGGAGGTTGAAAAGATGGATTAGTAATGAGTGACACCAGTAATACATTTGGTCTACTGCATCACAAACCAAGGGTTAGAACACGGACTCGCTTTCGACGCATTTCATCAGGACGGGACTTCCGGTTAAAACAAAAAAACAAATACGTCAAACGTCTCTCTCTATCATTTTATCTTCAATCGAATGAAATGTCTTAGATTCAATTCATGTCCATAAAATTTAGTCTGAAACGCGATGCATGAACAACATCTGCGTCACGTAAAAGCATAATCTCCTGTTATGGAAACGAGGCATTTGTTAGAGGTGGAATTCAGTGTCAAGAAATTAGGTTCCCGGGTTCTTTTAAAGACGATTTGACGGTTCTTGATTTCTTTATTCGTCAATTAAGTTGTAAAAGTGCTGTACCAAGAGAATTAACCAGGGAAACTACCGAACGTTCTGCAAGTGAGACTGATAGAGTTAACAAAAGATATTAACAAAGCAATTTAACTGTTTAAGTCTCTAAATATACCAGGGAAAGCGAAAAATCCCATGTCTAACAAGCTCATTGAGATCAACGGCATTTATATGTATGATTTCACGCATCTCAAAAGCGAGTTTCTGATACTGACACGCCGGCTTTATCTGTATGGGACACAAAGTTAGAAATACCAACACATATATATTTATCTGAACATTCTGGAGACATTTGAGTGGTTCCACACTTCCTTTTACAGTGGAATGTAACTTTTTTTATTGAATTTATTTCCATCAAGTATTTCTGCTACACCAGATGACACAAGATCTGTGTGACATAGAAGAACGTCCCTAGATCAATGAAAGATGTTTTGATTTGCCTCGATCAATAATCAGATTTAAGTGCAGTAGAATTTAATGAGGAGCAAGAGATTAGAGGCAAATTAAGTCCCTGGGTTTTGAAAGTCAATTTGATAGCTTTGGTATGATACTGCAATGAAATACAGAAATATCAAAGACAATTGAAAGTTTTTCGTGACTGCAAGAGTTATCAAAATAGATTACCAAAGCAAAACAAGAAAACCTTCTCGCATGTTGACCATCCTGGCTGTGCGGGTAAAAAATATCAACATTGGTAAAACTACCATAACCAAAATTTTATAATCTCTTGCCATAAAGTATGAAGAGAATGATTTTAAAAAATTCGAGGATATATTCAGGTAGGCAAAATATTGAATTGAATTGAAAATCTAATCCGGTAAAAATCTTTCCGATTTAAGCCGCTCACTCGGCTGGAGCGAGTGATAAGGAGGGTGCATGAGGGCGAAAAAACGGGTGAGCACAAGGGATGGGAAAGAAGAACCTAGCTCCTTCATAGTCCTACAAAAAAAATTCAGCCACTTACCGTCCACTAAGAAAGAAGGGACAGCTTGCGCTTTCATCTTCTCTCCTGATAGAAATCACAGATATAGGATTCTTCAGGAAAAATCAAAATTGTTCTTCAAAACCAAAACGTATCAATAACATAAATGCCATCTGTTGCAGTTAGAAGTCCGAGGAAATCTTCTTTCTGAGCAAAAAGCATTATTCAGGAAAGTTCTTTCACCTATCAGGCAGATACAGCGAGTTGCAGAGGTCAGTGTGAATGACATGAATGCACGCGCGAGACGCGTCGTGTAGAATACACTCACACTAAAATGGTCCCGTTCTATTCACAATGTCTTCCCAGTAGAAGTTCCAAAAATGATAATGTTGATGTAGATTCAACATATTTTATGTCGTTTAATTTGTTACACAAACACCAATTTAACAATGTCTTGCGTTGAATTTAAATTTTAATGGCTAAGGGTGCTAATTTTGATTCCCCCTCTAATGAATGTAAGTGGAAGTCACTTTCAAACAGAACACTGCGACCAGATTCAGTTCTAATTAATTGTGTGGCATGTAAAAAATAAATAATCAGTGAGTTGAACGCCAGCATAGCACGATCAATGGATTAACCGACGATCAATTGGTTAAAAAAATTAATAGAGTTTGTCTTGAATTAAACAAAAAAGACAAGAGGCGCTCAGACATCTATAGAAAGTCTTAGTTTTTGTTGATTCTTTTCTCACGTTTGGGGAAATTCTTTTAACATTCAGGACATGACGTAATGAATAACGCAGCAGAAATCCTAAAGTCAGTCCAGATTGGTTTGGATGTCGCCATATTTCTTCTCAACACTGATCGTGGCCTACAAGCGACCGAGTTATGTAATGAATGTTTATTTCTACTACACAAACTTGACTCTGGTATTGACCTTGATCTTGATATCTCTGATGTATTATTCAGTGTGTTCTACGCCACCTCCGGTTACACAAATGCAACACGATACACCACAAAACTTATTGACAAGTTTGTCCTCGCTGGAGAACTAACCATACAACTGGGAGACAAATACAAGGCAAAATGTTGGTTTGCAGAGGCAAAGCAACTTTGTAAAAGCGCTCTTACCATCATGAAAGCGATTGGCCACCGTAGAAAAGAGGTAGTGGCTTACGAGAGACTTGGATCTCTTTGTTTTATCCTCAGCGAGTATCTAAAGGCGAAAGAATATTGTGAGAAAGCAATTGCCATCGCGATAGAAATCGGCGACAGAAATGGAGAAGGAGCAACATACGGGAACCTCGGAGCTGTGTTTCAATCCCTTGGCGAATATCAGAAGGCCAAAGAATATTACGAGAAAGCAATTTCCATCGCGATAGAAATCGGCGACAGAAATGGAGAAGGAAGAACATACGGGAACCTCGGAGCTGTGTTTCAATCCCTTGGCGAATATCAGAAGGCCAAAGAATATTACGAGAATGCAATTGCCATCGCGATAGAAATCGGCGACAGAAATGGAGAAGGAACAACATACGGGAACCTCGGAGCTGTGTTTCAATCCCTTGGCGAATATCAGAAGGCCAAAGAATATTACGAGAAAGCAATTGCCATCGCGATAGAAATCGGCGACAGAAATGGAGAAGGAACAACATACGGGAACCTCGGAGCTGTGTTTCAATCCCTTGGCGAATATCAGAAGGCCAAAAATATAACGAGAATGCAATTGCCATCGCGATAGAAATCGGCGACAGAAATGGAGAAGGAAGAAGATACGGGAACCTCGGAGCTGTGTTTAAATCCCTTGGCGAATATCAGAAGGCCAAAGAATATTACGAGAAAGCAATTGCCATCGCGATAGAAATCGGCGACAGAAATGGAGAAGGAACAACATACGGGAACCTCGGAGTTGTGTTTCAATTCCTTGGCGAATATCAGAAGGCCAAAGAATATTACGAGAATGCAATTGCCATCGCGATAGAAATCGGCGACAGAAATGGAGAAGGAAGAACATACGGGAACCTCGGAGCTGTGTTTCAAGGCCAAAAGAATATTACGAGAATGCAATTGCCAGCGAATATCAGAAGGCCAAAGAATATTACGAGAAAGCAATTGCCATTGCGATAGAAATCGGCGACAGAAATGGAGAAGGAATAAGGTACGGGAGCCTCGGAGCTGTGTTTCAATCCCTTGGCGAATATCAGAAGGCCAAAGAATATTATGAGAAAGCAATTGCCATCGTGATAGAAATCGGCGACAGAGATGGAGAAGGAAGAACATACGGGAACCTCGGAGTTTTGTTTCAATCCCTTGGCGAATATCAGAAGGCCAAAGAATATTATGAGAAAGCAAGTGCCATCATGATAGAAATCGGCGACAGAAATGGAGAAGCAGCAATATACAGGAACCTCGGTGCTGTGTTTGAATCCCTTGGTAAATATCAGAAGGCCAATGAATATCACAAGAAAGCACTTGCCATCGCGATAGAAATCGGCGACAGAAATGTAAAAGGAACAACATACGGGAACCTCGGAGCTGTGTTTCAATCCCTTGGCGAATATCAGAAGGCCAAAGAATATCACGAGAAAGCAATTGCCATTGCGATAGAAATTGGCGACAGAGATGGAGAAGGAAGAACATACAGGAACCTCGGAGCTGTGTTTGAATCCCTTGGCGAATATCAGAAGGCCAAAGAATATCACGAGAAAGCAATTGCCATCGCGATAGAAATAGGAGACAGAGGAAAGGAATGTTCAGGATACTTAGCCCTTGGAAACGTTTACTGCAGGCTAAGGAAATATCGTCAAGCTAAAGAATATTTCGACAAAGCACTCAGCATCAGTACAGCAATTGGAAAAAGAAGAGATGAAGGATGCGCTTCCATAGGTTTGGCAGAAGTGTTCGCTTTTATCAATGACAATCAGAAAGCAAAAGAACATTCTCAGAAGGCGCTCACCATCAGCAAGGAATGTGGCCATAAAGCTCTGGAAGGAAAAAGTTACCTCAACCTAGGAGATCTATGTAGATCGCTTGGTGAATGCGACGAGGCAGAAGATTACTTAGAGAAGGCTCGCTCCATAAGCAGTAGAATTGGAGAAATACTGACTGAGTTTAAAAGCCTTCTCAGCATCTCACAGTTAAAGGTATCGCAATCAAAGGTTGTGGAGGCAAAGGAACATCTCCTTCAATGTATTGGAAAATATGAACAATTGAGGAGTTTTCTGGGAGGAAACAAAGAATTTGAAATATCCCTGTTGGAGGCGCACGGTACTTTTCCCTATCACTTGCTCACTGTGATGCTTTGCGGGGCTAGCAAATTTCAAGACGCTCTTTATGTGGAGGAGCTGGGACGAGCGAGAGTCCTCGTAGAATCCATGGCTGAGAAGTTCTCCGTTGAAAGCCACATCTCAGCTGATCCACAATCATGGTTCGGGATTGAAAACATCGTGAAAAAGGAGATTAACTGTGTCTTTTTGTACATTTCGTATCTTGAGCGACAGGTTTGTCTCTGGGTTTTGAAAGCAAATGGAGACATTTCCTTTCGAGTCACCGACCAAGTGAAAGACAGCACTCTCATTCCTGAGAAAGTTTGCAACGTGGAGGGAATTTTCAAAAAGAGCGCCGCCAGCTTTGGCGTTTTATTCACAGCGAATTGCGAAGATCGATCTTTGGATGGCAACTTAACGACATCTCTTTTTGAAGAGAGCCGAGCAACTTTGCGCGGTGACGAAAGCAAAGAAACCGAAAGAATTCATCATTTGTGTTACAAATGGATCATCGCTCCTGTGGTAGATTTACTTACAGAGCCTGAAATCATCATTGTGCCGTATCGTTTCTCTTATCGAGTCCCATTTGCTGCCTTGCGTGATGGAGCAGCCGGAAAGTATCTATCAGAGACATACAGAATCCGTATCGTCCCTTCTCTGACGACCCTCCGGCTCATTCAAGATTGTCCAGCGGATTATCACAGTGAAACTGGTGCACTTGTAGTGGGTGATCCTACGGTTGGCCAGGTGTATTACAATGGACGTGTCGCTAACTTTGTACCATTGTCTTGTGCTAGAGAGGAAGCAGAGATGGTTGGTCGACTGTTGGGAGTTCAGCCTTTGTTAGGAGAGTCTGCAACTAAGCAGGCAGTGCTTCAAGCGATACCTTCAGTGAGTCTCATACATGTTGCCGCACATGGAAATGCCGAAAGAGGAGAGATTGCCCTTTCGCCTAAATGTCCTAAATGTACCACCAACAGTTTTCCACAAGAAGAAGACTACCTCTTGACAATGTCCGACATTTTCGGAGCTCAAGTGCGAGCAAAACTGGTTGTATTGAGCTGTTGTCATAGTGCGCGTGGATTGGTCAAAGCCGAAGGAGTTCTTGGAATCGCTCGTGCATTCTTAGCATCCGGTGCACGTTCAGTGTTGGTAGCATCGTGGGCCATAGAAGACGAAGCAACGGAGCAGCTCATGAATCATTTCTACAAGCACCTTGTTCGTGGAGAAAGTGCCAGTGAATCTCTTCACCAGGCCGTAAAATGGTTGAGAAGCAACGGCTTTCCCAAACCCAATCAGTGGGCTCCATTTGTACTGATGGGAGACAACGTGACATTTGATTTTAAGTACATTGGGTAGGTCTAGTTCTGATAAGAAATTTCCATTAGCTACCTTACGTTACCCAACATTAGCTATCTTAGGGACTGTTCAGCAGCCGGGGGGGGATTGGGTGCTGCTCGAGGATTTTGGTTGTCTCCCAGTAAAATTCACCTGATCCCCTGTAAGGCTCCATAATATTCTTTAGACCCCCCCTTCCCCCCCCCCCCCCCACAGAACCAGAAGATTTTGATGAATCATTTTCAAAATTGGCCTTGAATCAAAGTTGCTTTAGTGTGCAAAATCTTCAGAAATTATTCTTCAAACAGAAGCCCAAGAGGATGATAGACAGGCCAAAGTAAATGCAATGAAAGCAACTTGAGAGATATAAGCTACCTAATGACTTTGAAGTTGATAGCTATTTGAGCTGTGTGTCTAGCTACTTTGAATCTTTTAGAAATTCTGATCCATATAATGCTTTAGAGTTGAAATTGTATTATGTTTGTTTCAGGAAAGAGGAACACAAGGAGGACAACAATGAAGCAGAGAAGAAACAGAGTAACAACTGATCCTGCACAAAGATTATCTTTCCTGCACATTGTTTTTGAATGGACACTGGTATTAGTTTGAGCAGACATTTTTCATTTTATTGTAGATAAATGGTTATTTTTGAATGCTCTTGCAAATAAGGCTGAATCGAAAGCTAGTGACACTGAAAGCTACATTTCAACCCTCAGACCTATTAAGGGGACTAAAATGAATCAGCATGAAAAAAATGAAAGCGTGAAATTAACTAAACATTTACTAATATGAGAACTTTGGTAAAGTTTCCTTTGGATCGCAATCAGAAAACACCAAAACTAAACTCTAACTTGTTTTGTGAGTTGTTAGGTAAAAAAACAGGAGAAAAGGAGAACAAGCATTGCACAAAATATTACTGCCAAAGTCAAACTGAGGAGTAAAAACAATTCCTAAGATATCAATGAAACAATCTCCCAGAATTCAGAGCAGAAAGATAACTGATATTATCAAAAAGATAGTTGGAATACCTGTAGGAAAACAAAATCACAAACCAGGAATGCATGGCTTTGTTGAGTATGATGATGCACAAGTGGCAGTTTTCTATGTATTTTTTCCTTTACCTCGGGGGGTTTGGTGGGGAGGTCAGTATTGTCATATTTTAATCTTTTAGAACTTTCAGGAAAAGGTAAATGCTAAAGAAGTTGTTGATATGATGTTTGAAAATTTTTCATCAAAAGGATCTGTTAGGAAAAGTATAATTAGTGATGAGATTTTGTTACTGATGGCAGACTTTTGTTCCTAATCGTCAGTGGTTCCTAAAAACTTATTGATTCTTAGGAGGCCTACTTATTCTTTGGCCAACTTGAAAGTTTTTGTTCCTGTGATCACTACACATTTTTCTCTTATTTGAAGTACTTTTGCATTTCTTATTTTTCTCTGATTTTTCAGTTTTGTTAATTAAGTGAAATTTATTATTTTACTAAAATAAGTGTAAATAAATACAACTGAGAATTGGATTGGATTGTTGGAGTTAATTCCCAGATTTATTTTGCAACCTTAGACTTGGTCTGACAAAATACACTAAACAATTGTTTTCGGCAGAGTTTATTCACAAGTTCACAATCCTGTCACATTGATTTTTTTTTCAGTACCTCTTTTGGTGTTTTGGCTTTCATTAATCTTTCCTTGTGTTTTGCCTCTCATTATCATTTTTACATTGACTCACAGCCAACTGTATTCAACAGCTCAGAAACTTCATCACCAAACTACCCCTGTTTTGGAATGACCATATTGAATTTTGATGTAGTATGGGGGCTGAAGGCCAAGAGTCTATGGAGAGAGATTTGATTTGTGCTAAGGACTGTGTGCCATTTGAAAGTGAAATGATGGTGAAGGGGGGGGGGAGAAGGAGAGAGAGACAAGCCATAGTTCCTCCACCCTCCCTCCTCTAGGTTTTCCTTAGGTTCTCCTATCCCTGATGCTCCTCCTTATGTCACTTCATACCAGCCAACTTTCACAATTCATTTTCCACACTGAACCATTAGGTACCAAAAGTGATGAAAATGCAACTTCCCCTGAAAACATAAGTGCATTGTTGAATAAACAAGTAATGAGAATTAAGTTCATCAGCTTAGAGGAGGTAGATTCCATCATCCTTTCAGCTGACATCCCAGGAAATGAACAACTACAAGGTCAAGATAATTCTAAATCCTTTAACCATTTAACTCCCACAAGTGACCAAGACAGAATTTCTCCTTATAATATCAACACAATATCAACCAGATAAGTCAGGAGATTAAAGAAAAATATCAATTTGGAAATAATTAGTTGATCCAATACTAAATTGTCTGAACTAACATTATAGGAATTGTATGGTTGACATTAAGGAGAATTAGAAATTTGATCTGGGAGTTAAAGAGTTTAGGTAACTTCCCAGCTTCACTGGTGTCTTTTGGGAAAAAAATTTGTACTTGTGCTAGTTTAACCAAAATCATAGGAAACCATATATCAGAGGAAAGCTTAATAAATACAGATTACTATAAAAATATAACTTAAGCAACTTTTCTTTGAGGAAGTGTCAGAAGCCAGTAAGGCATAAAGCAACCAAAGGTTCTTCTATTGAATTTATCGGGCATTGGATGCTGCTGCATGAGCAAAATGGCTGCAGTCTCATTCACAAGGCATCAATCAACAAGAGTGTGTCTGGCTTTTTCAATATTTTGATTGGTTGAGTTGATATCGGGATCTAAAGTTAGACTAGCTAAAAATATTTGAGACGTGTTGCGTAAATGGACTCCACAAGACATATTTCAAATATCAAAATTTCTCAACGCACTTTCCTTCGTCATTATTCCTAGGATGCTTTGGGGAAATTTGATGAAAATCAATCAAATCTATACATCCTATAAATTTGCTCAAAGTTGTTGTATTCCTCCCTATATCAAACATGAGATTTTAGCTCCTAAAGGTTCACAAACAACTTGTGCCATGCAAGGAGATTATCTCACTTCCTGAAACTGCACACCAATAGGACAAAGGGACCTCCTGGTGTCAATGATGATGGATCAAGATTTCCCGCGAAAAGTAACCCATTGTCTCTGAAGGTGGGAAGTAACCTTAACTCCCGGAAGTAACTAACATGTGACTTCTCCCTATAATATCCATATATTACTTGGCAAAAAGGTAATAAGAATACTCAGGTAGAAGTAAAAAGTGTTTAGCGAAAAGTGTTTACCAGATGACATCGTACAGAAGATTATCCTGAATTAAGCCGTTTTGAAAATTCGAACTAGTAGAGGTTACAATGAAATTGCTGCGTAAGAAAACAAGATATGGCTTTATTTTAGAATCCAGTTTCCTCACGGCATGTTTCAGGAAAGGATTGCACTGGACTGGATTCAGATCTGTTCAGATATGTCTTCTGAGGCCCGTGAGAGGAACATTTTTAATATAAAGATTGCCAGTACTCTGAAATACCATAAAATCACAAGAATGTAGGTTTTGGTTGAAATTTTAACTTTCTGTTTTGATAGCAGGTAGAAAGTATTCATTTCAAGGTATCACGGAAGTTAAATGCGCTGTCAACGTTAGTTGATTTCCGGTTTATTTTTTCCGATAAGTGACAGATGATTGAACAATAGGATCATATAATATATTTAAAACGAGAGAGACCAGAGCGTGAGACAAAAAAACGGTGAGAGAGAGAGGGAGATCAAATCGATTTTATAAATAAAACGTGAAGTTTCGGAAGGTTCGAGCAGAGATAGACGGACTGCCTTTCACAACAGAGGTCTACGAGAGGGCAAAGAATATCCTCATCGGCGAATATGGGAAAACGCGTGAGATCGTAAATGAGTAAGTCCAGAACATCGCAAATTTGCCTATCATTACAGGAACACAACCTGTGCCTATCCACGAATTTTACAAGAAGCTCGTGTACAATGAGCAATCTTTGGAGACACTGAGCAAATTGAAAAACGTGACTGGAAATGCAAGGAGTGTGCTCGACAAAGTAAAGGGTGTAAAAACAGATCTAGTAAAAAGAAAAATTTACTGGCAGGACTGAGACTTCCCACGGTTGATAAAAGCTTTGAAAAGTTGGAAGGAAATCAACCCCATTGTGAGTGGCACGGATAATGCAGGGAAGCAAGGTGCTAAATTCCGCGCTCGCGAAAAAATATTTCATGCAAACGAAACAAAGCCAACACAAAGAGGGTGTGTCTACTGTGACGCAACTGACCACAAAGCTGTAAATTTTAACAAGTTTGTGACAACTGGAGATCGCAGGAAGCAACTAGGTCTGAAACAACTGTGTTTTAATTGCACAGGAAGTGCAAATGCCGTTCTGGCTGCCAGATCTGCAGGAAACCGTTTACGAAGAGTTCAAAGAGAAACTAACCAGGAGTTCAGAAGGCTGGTACGAGACGAGCCTGCCCTGGAAAGCCTAGGAAACCATCCTCCCCTACCGAACAATCACATTGAAAGTTTAAAACGTCTCAAAAATCTTGTGCGGAAGTTAGAAATGCAAGGTGAGCTGGAGAGGTACAACGACATTAGCCAGAAAAAATTGAGTCAAGGGATCGTATAACGCGCTGACGAGATGGTCAAGGACGGAAGAGAGTTCTACATTCCTCATAAAGCGGTCTTGCGCGAGAACGCAGAATCTATAAAGATACGCATTGTTTATGATGCTTCTGCAAGAGCAAATGCAAGTGCCCCTTCACTCAACGAGTGTCTCGAAATCAGCCCTCCACTACAGGACCAGCTTTGGAACGTGCTGATACGAAATAGGTTCTATCCCGTGGCAATAGCTGGCGACTTAAAACAAGCATTCTTGCAAATTCGCGTCCGAAGAGAAGACCGAGATGCCTTACGCTTTCATTGGATAAAGGATCTGGCAAGCAAATAGGTAGAAACCTTGCGATTCACTCAAGTACTCTTTGGTTTGGCACCATCTCCATTCCTCTTGGCCGCAGTTATCAAAGAACATCTACAGCGACACAAAATGGTGAACCCGGAACTAGTGGAGGAGATAGAGCGCAGTATGTATGTAGATGATTTAATCAGTGGCGGGGAGACAACAAAACAAGCGTTAGAAATCAAGATGACAGCCACAACAATCTTTGGTGAGGCGACTTTCAAGCTGCACCAGCGGCATTCCAACAATCGGGAGTTAGAAACTGCGACTTCAGATGAAGAAAGTCAGGGTTACGCCAAACAACAACTGGGAACCAGAAAGAGCGAATCAAAACTGCTGGGAGTCCCCTGGGACAAAGAAAAGGACGAAATTCGAGTCAGCTTCCCGATTTTGTTAAACGATAAAAATCCAACTATATTTAATCTGAAATATCGTAAGTTTCCTTATATTGGTGTCGAGGAAAGGACTGAAAATACTGTATTACTTTAAACCATTCCTGCAAAAAAATTATAAAAAGGCAGGTTGATTACTTCTTATTCCTTTTGCAAGCCTTATCTTAAAGGTAGAGTTTGGTCACGTTTTCCTCGTTATGATAGTGAAGTTGACATGGAAACAATTGTTCAGTTTCTATGGTAATTAGAACTCGTGATAATGTCTTGGGAAAGCTATGTTATTAATTAAGTTAATTGGAAGAGTGAATCTCTCTGGTAAAAGGTCACGTTCGACACCTCTCGTTCTTAAAGGTGTAAACGTGCGATACCTTCACGTTTTGCGATTAGATAGTTATTGTGATTAGCACGTAGCAACTTGGAGGCGGTACTTGCATTGTGAACGCCCCTTCTTCTCCAACTTTTGTAATCATGATGTTGTTATGTAACGGTCTTATCAATTATCTTAGTTATGACGTCAAACTCTCCGACTGTTGTTCCGTTACTAACTCGTGCACTCTAAGGAATCTGTTTCGATCGATTGTAACGTCAGTATAACTTGCATTAATAGGAATCTCTTTCAGTTGATTGTTACGTCGGTATCACTCGCACTCTAAGGGTAACCGGTCAAGTCGCCCGAAAGTCATCTCGCCCGAAGTCATGTCGCCCGGAACCAGAGTCATGTTGCCCGAAATTCATAGTCATGTTGCCCGAAATTTTATAACAATCGCAAGGAATAAACTCGTAAAATGTTTTCGTCCGCTAACCTATGCGAACATGAAGTAAAACAAAGACTCAAATATCGCTGTTTATTTCAGCGTTGTTCGTTGCTATGAACTAAACTGCTAATTCTATAGTACAGATTCTAGTAATTATAAGCGGAACACTTTCATTTATCGGAATTTTTCACACATACCAGAAAAATACATCAAGTTCTCTTAGTTTGATTTATCGTATAAAAAACTTCCTGAAATTTTTACAGCGGTTTTTTTTGTTTATTGTTAACCACGCGAACAAAGCGTGTTAGCATCATTCCCTTTAGGATCAGACGCGGTATAAATTATCGCGACTTACTCAGTTCTTCCTTGTTTCCTCGGCCGGTCGCATGTAAATTTTGATCCGGTTATCCATATATAAAGAGGGTAAATTAATAACAGCTACCTCATTCCGAGATAATCAGCTAGCATCGGCAGCATCGTATCTAAAGGACTGGTATCGACCAAGCCACCTACCGTTTGGCAATAGTCAGAGGAAAAATAGATTGGTTGTGCGTCGCATGTTCTCTTGCCGCATAGAACCCAAGTGACCATGTCCCCGCTGCTGAGAGCACAAGAACCGACTCACGTAGCACATGGACCAGTTCGTACAGATTAGTTTTCTTTAGTTTTTGCTCGCGTTTAGGAAAGTAATGATATTATTACTATTATTATTCTAGTTTAAAAGGAATAGTTTATTTTATCACGATTAAAAAAAAATCAGATATGTAACAAGAATTTTTTTTTTATAACGAACTTAACTTAAGTTGGCATTTTGAATTCGTTTTCAAGGTGCGGGTGTCACTTGGACAACCCACACGTTCTCGCGTGTAATTAGGTTTAGTTGCTAGCAATAAATATGTTTGTGTTAATGCGTGTCTGAATTTACCGCAACGTCACAATCTTGCTTGGCAACCATGTGATGATTCTTGAGCACGTGCTGTATTCAATATGGCGGGTTTTTCCAATATTCCAATCGTGGTGATGTAAACCTTCGTTCGAAACAGAATGCTTCCACAGATAAAACAACAACAGTTATAACCATACTGTAACTGATATTACTACTTTTTTTTTATTATTTTCGTGTTCTATTTTAGGATTGCCATCTCCGTGATATCAAACGACAGCGAAACGAACAACCTGAGTTTAACGAGTCAACATTTTACGAGTTTATTCCTTGCGATTTACTTAAGATGTTACTTTTCTTCAAGTTTAAACACTCGATAAATTTCGGGCGACATGACTTAGGATTTCGGGCGACATGACTATGAATTTCGGGCAACATGACTTCGGGCGAGATGACTTTCAGGCGACTTGACCGTAAACCCACTCTAAGATATGTCTTTAGATCGATTGTTACTTCACTATCTCTCGCTCTGTAAGGAATCTCTTTCAATCGATTGTTACATCAGTATCCCTCGCACTCGCAGGAGTCTCTTTCAATCGATTGCCGTTGCGTCAGTTTCTCTCGCACTCTACGGAATTTCTTTCAATCGATTGTTTCGTCAGTATCCCTCGCACTCAAAGGAGTCTCTTTCAATCGATTGTTACGTCAGTATCAGTCTCGCACTCTAAGGAATTTCTTTCAATCGCTGGTTATCGAATGGTTACGTCAGTATCTCTCAGACTCTCAGGATTCTCGCTAGTTCTATTGTTACGCTAGTATTTCGCACATCATCGTACAGGTCATTTTTACAGTTATGAAAGCGTTCCTTGAACTCTTAAGTACATGGTGCGTAGAAGGACCATTTCACACTTTATAAAAATGTTTCTGGCACTCAAAAAGTACCGATTGCCTGAACACCATTTCCCAATTCACTTCAGTGTTTCTTGATGTTTTGTTTGCTTGTTTGCGAAAAGCCAATGTGTATTGAAGAGTCTACACTAAAAACCATGAGATGTAAGAAAAAAAATTGTGTTCAGTACTGTAATTTATAAAATGACTGAAATACTACGAACGTTCCGATTGGTCAAAATCCTATTATTTACTGTAGCAGTTAACCAAAGTGGCCAGAAAGAGCGTCAATTGCTGAAGTAACTCGAGGCGGCGTGGCCGAGTGGTTAGGATTCTGGTCTTGTAATCTGGTGGTCTCGGGTTCAAGTCCTCCACCCTGCCATTCACTGGATTTGTTCTTACTCCGAGTTCAACTCCTCGGCTGCGCTGTGTAAATAGCCAACTGGTCTGCCTCCTGCCATTGGGATTTTCAAGCATTCTAGGTTTAATTCAGTCATTGTAAAGCGCTATTAGATAGCGATAGAAATAGCGCTATATAAATAAACCATTATTATTATTACTATTACAAAGATGACTGATATCACTGTATGACCCATTGAGAAGCGTCCACCCGACAGTCTTCACTTCATAAAACTACCAAAGAGACTTTAAATTTCCAGTAGAACAGTTTATTTACCTTTTTATCTATATAGTTCATCTCTTAAATTAATAAATACTTTTCTCTCTAAAAGCATATTTTTGTCTTCAGTATTTCTTAAATAGTCGCTTCATTAATCCTTTGAAACGAGATGAATAAAATGTATATTTTTTCCGAACAAGATTCCCCTTAAGAGAAATTTCTTAAAACCTGGTAGCACTGTGGGGTCATAGTATAGCACAGGGGCATCACTCGACTGCGACTTCAGCTGCTCTCAAACACAACTGTTTTCCCCTCACTATTGTGATTTAGCGATTTTGATTCAACACACTTGATGGAATCTTTCACAAAACGTGCAAATTCAAGGCGTGACTAATGAGGTAGGAGAGGGAGGGGAGGGAGAGGAGCAAGGTCTTGTGAGCAAGTAGCTGATTCGATGTCAAAAAAAAAATATAAAACAAATAGCCTGGAGGCTTCTCCCCATCCTCCTCCTGCTTTATTCCTAGTTATATGTAGCTGTATATATAAATGAATGTGGGGGTAGAGTCTACCTTGGCATAAAGTGCTCAATGCTGTGGTAGCAGAGCTAAGTATACATAAGTTAAAGAATTAAAGAGGACGTATCGATTCTCTGTGACTCTTATGTATAGCTATATATATATATATATATATATATAGTTTACATCAAATAAGAAAGTTGAAAAAGCTAAGCTGCATCTTTGTAGTTCACAGATCAGCGCGACAAAGATGTGCATGCTGAGAAGGGTAAGCAGAGCAACAATCTCCCTGTACGTACGTGTTGAGAATAGTTTAAAACTTGCTTACTCTTAAATCTTTATGTCACTATAAGATTCTTCAACATCGTCGAATCGTCAAGAAACGCAAAGAGCCTGGTTCCCTCTAACTTCTTGCGCAGACGTTTCTGTTTGACCACCACTCGAGCTGCCGGCATCCGAGATGCTGATGACCAGCAATTACTGCTGACAAGTTTACACAGAACTCCACTAGAACCTGCTCCATAATCGCAGAAAAACCTAAAAATATAGATGAAAACATTTCTGATCATCCACTTCAAGACGCGCATCAGGGCCAGAAACGTCGAAATAATCGACAGTAAACCAACTTTAAAGAATCCTTCCTAGATAGGAGTTAGATCACACGAGAGAGGGGAAAGAGATCAACGACAAAACCAGGAGAAGTATGCACCAAACGAATTCTGTGGCTGATTTGGTTGTTATAAATTCAATTCAAAATTCGTTCACGGTATAAAATGTATGAGACTGGAGATTTAATCCTCGTTGCTGGATTCTCATCACTAAAAATTATACGATGAGCCGAATGATACAGCACTTCCATCGGTTCTTTCTTATAATATATGGGAGGTCAGACGCCTAGATGACGTCAACAGTAACAGCATTTTGCGTTTCCATGATATAAAACAAATAGATTCCCTGTAGTCATGGGTCTGTGCAGTAATAGATCACAGAAGACGTCCGAATGTAACTGGAATATCTGATCACATTTTGGTATCACCTGTGATCTACAACTAAACAGATGCACGCCAACATGGCGTCTATTTTTAAAGTGTTATGCAGTCTAAAAGGGCTTTTTTTCTTTACCAAAACCTATGAAGCTTCAGTCTCTTCAACCTACAACTTATCAAGCAAGAAGCAAAGGAGAACTGACTTTGATTTGAGCACCGCATAACAGTTTCAAAATCCAAATTTACAACAAAAAAGTTTTCGCGTTGCTGTGCTTTTGTTCAGTAATAGATCACAGACGACGTCAAAAAGAGATAAAATAGATCACAGACGACGTCAACAAGAGATAAAAAAAAAAAGGGGCACACAATGTGCACCTACGTGTCAGTATAAATACATTAAGAGATACGTCAATATCAAGGAAGCAGTGATGACTGATTAAGAAACCAGTCAAAGGTAAAATATGTAATCGACAGCACTGCATCTCTAACATGAGACCTCAGCAACTGACCGTGCAATATCATTGGAGATTGTGTTCACCCAAGACTATGGTGACTAAGTAATAGAACTCAGTGAATTCAAATAGATTTGGAATGTTTATGACCGTTTACTAACTACGTAATCGACTAAATTTATACTAAATACGGAATCTTTCTTGTCTGATAGACCGCTGGACTAAGTTGATGACTGAGTCACTATCCAGCAGAAAAAGATTGAGAGGTAAAACGATGGGGAGGGTGAGTGACATATTCTGAACTCAGCTAAGATTGGTAAATTGGTGTTTCAAAAAAAACGGCAGAGCGCTAAGAGATAGAAAAGGGAACATAAAATAAACGGCATGGCGCTAAGAGATAGAGATAAAATAAACGGCAGGGCGCTAAGGGATAGAAAAGGGAACATAAAATAAATCTATAAATGAATAAACTCCAACCCATGAAGTAATTTTCGCGTATGCATTTTATTGTTGATCTCTTTAACGAGCATTTGCTTTTTTGTCAAGATGACACCTTACGCCTAAAACGTCTCTCTATCTTATCAGCTGTTTTCTGAATAATGTATTGATAGTGTTAGGAAAAGTCACATGCTTAACACCTTTGAGTATGCTCACCTGTAAAAATCGTGCATCGGATAGCATGTGTTACCAGACACTTGATACAAACAGCGACAAGACTCTTTAGCTCGCTCAACTTCTCTTCTGTTACCGTGTACTTTGTTATGTGAGGGAGGAGAGAGTAGTAATCATTAGTGCCAAAGGATGTAACAGTGATAAACGGGTGGGGTAGGGGTAAGTCAAACATTATACTCACTGCTAAGTTTGGGCTCGACACCAGTGGCCAGACAAATCCCGTCAAACCGGTTATTGAAGACTTCGTTTTCTTCTAGAACTCCTCCTGAAAAAAATAGGGATGATATGATTTTTTTTCAGTCTATAATAAGGAGATTAAACAAGCAGGAGTTGATTCATTTCGGGTCAATTAGAGAATCGATGACAGTACGAAGAGGCCATTTTAAAGGTTGCTGATGAAACTATATATTGTTACTCTGTCAAAAGGAATATTTTTGATGATTTACAAATTCAAGATGAATTTTATTACCAAGAGTCAATTCTTTTCAACTTCTGAAGTGCACAGATCTAGAGAAACAAAAGTGATAACAAAAATTCATGGGGGGAGCAAAGGGAGGTGAGATTTTCTAAAGATCATTCAATAAAGAGTGATGATAGTGAAGGAGTTATGTTGCTCACCAGCACTGTTTGTTATCTCAATTCCCGCGGCACCGCCATCAAAAATACGGTTCCTTTTCAGCACAGGAAAACTTGCTGTACTGATAAGCACACCTGAACAACAGAGAAGTGCACAGGATCATTACATTGTTTACTAAAAATACTGACTGACTTATTGTAAACGGTTCATCAAAGACTTTGAGTGAGAGTTATTTTCAATTGAGTATCGTAAGTAGTCCTATACTGCATTATGATTTCTTCAGTTCGCTGCCATTAGTCTTCAAAACTCCCGCCATCCTCTCACTCTATCAAATACAAAACTAACACCAGTCGCGACTGGCAAACCCGCTTTTCCTTGCCCTTTAAGAAGTTTGCTTGTGTTCTTTTTAAATTTGATCGGTTCTTTACAGTACTTCCATCGCGTTTTTTCTGATTGGTCGTTTTCAACACTTTGGCTTTACTTTAAGACATTTAATTGACAAGAACCCTAACAGATCAACCACGATATCAGAAAAATAATTATTGTTTTAAGTAAGTTCGAAAGATAATATTCAAATTTCTGTCGTGGGAGTAAAGATGACTGAGCTATGACAGGGAATAAACTGTTATTCAATCCAAACTTACGAGGCTTACCTGTCAATGCATTTCTAAAGATGTCATTATTTTCTTAAACGCCTAAAAAGGAATATAATAGTAGATCAGTGACAGCGAGGTATATCAACTGTTCGTAGACACGAGATGGCGGTCTTCCTGGGGCCCATTTCTCGAAGGTCCGATTAAGGAGTTTAAGAAAACCACTATGGTAACGGCAACGTATGGGCGACCATCACCACCAAAAATACAAGGATGTCAAATAGATCAGCAAATAAAAAGCTGGTCTAAGGATCGGCTGCAGGATAGCATAGCTAAATAAGGAATGGCATGGCCAAATTATAGACGGTTTAGTTTTCCTTCGTGATACAGAACACCCTAAACATGGATAGTTCAGCCAAATGATAAACGATGTAGTTGCCCATGTCGAGTTGGAACATGAAATTGTGGAATGGACTAGCTCAATTGCGAATAGCTTAGCACTCATTTTCAATACAGTACACAAACGGTGTTGCGTTGCGTCAAATGGCTCAGGGTAACGTCGAGTAACACAGCGTAAGCACAAACGGTGTAGCGTTGCGTGAAATAACTCGGCATAATGTAGAATGGTACAGCGTACACACATATGGTGTAGCGTTGCGTGAAATGGTTCAGCGTAATGTCGAATGGTACAGCGTAGGTACCAACGGTGTAGTGTTGCGTGAAATGGCTCAGCGTAATGTCGAATGGTACAGCGTGCACACAAATGGTGTAGAGTTGCGTGAAATAGCTCAGCGTAATGTAGAATAGTACAGCGTACATACAAACAGTGTAGCGCTGCGTCAAATGGCTCAGCGTAATGTCGAATGGTACAGCGTACACACAAATGGTGTAGAGTTGCGTCAAATGGCTTAGCGTAATGTCGAATAGTACAGCGTACACACAAATAGTGTAGCGTTAGGTCGAATAGCTTTACAGAATATCAGACGCTCCATCTGAACATTAAATTGCTTTGTATTACTTGAAGTATTTCGATGTTGTGGCGAATTGTCGAGCTTGCTTGTGGCGTGACGTGAAGGCCATGCCATTTCTTTATTAGCTATACTATTCTGCAGCTGATCCTTAAACCATCTTTGTATGTGCTGATCTATTTGACATCCTTGTATTTTTGGTGGTGACGGCCGCCAAGGCTATCTCGCCGAAACCACCAAAAATACAAACCGCAAATGGAACAGCAATCTGCTGGGGGCATGACGTCATCGAATATGAAGACTGCCGCGAAACCATCACATGGCGTATTCACTGCATTGAATAGTCTTCACTTCGCTTTGCCGTAAAGCGGAGCCAATTCGGTAAGTTTCTCCTTTTTTTCCCTGCCGATATTGCATTTATTCGTTGTCATTCATGAAAGCATCAATTAAAATAGCAACGAGACTGAATTCTAACACGGTTGCCGGCCTCCCGGTTTACCCGCGTTTGTGGGCCTGAATATGTTTGTAGTATTAAGTAGTGTTATGACGTGCATTAAATGTTGATTGTCGAGCTCTCTTTTCTTTCTCTGACTCACGCTTACTTTCCAACGAGAGTTTGACTTTAAAGGCTTTTTTAACATTGGAGGAGTACGTGAGAAGTTGAATTTTATGTGTGCCCTGGACGCAATGGTAAGAAAACTGATATCCTTGATCTGTTTTGACATTTTTCAATCAAACTGAGTGATATCGGAATGCTTTAATTGGTGTGCCGGACGATAAAACCAACTCGGAAAAAAGGTTGCTTTGGCCAACACCACATGTTTGATTGAAAGCGCTCTACCAACTGAGCTAACAAGCCAACTGGGAGCTGGTCATCATGTTGGTTCTAAATAAACCCGTGAAGTGATAAAAAATAAACGGTTAAGAATATATGAAAGTCATATATTTGAACTGCGGATAAAGACGTGAATGAAAGTGATCCTCGCAGTAATGTGCACTACTTAGGCAGTAGTAACCATACCAACATCATGACCAGCTCCCAGTTGGCTTGTTAGCTCAGTTGGTAGAGCGCTGCAACGGTATCGCAGAGGTCATGGGTTCAAATCCCGTACAGGCCTGAATTTTTTCAGGCCTTATTTTCACTACTGCCTAAGTATTGCACATTACTGCGAGGATCACTTTCATTCACTACTTAATACTATGAACATTCAGGCTCACCAACGCATGCAAACTGTGGTAGACCGGGAGGCCGGCAAACCGTAAAAAAATCCAGTCTCGTTGCTATTTTAATTAACGCTTTCACGAACGACAACGAATAAATGCAATATCGGCGGGGAAAAAAAGGAGAAACTCACTGAATTGGCTCTGCTTTACGGCAAGGCGAAGTGAAGACTCTTCAACACAGCGACTACACCATCTGATGATTTCGCGACAGTCTTCACATTCGATGACGTCATGCCCCCAGCAGATCACTGTTCCATTTGCGGTTTGTATTTTTGGTGGTTTCGGCGAGACACGTCACGCCACGAGCAAGCTCGACGATTCGCCACAACATCGAAATATTTCGTGTAATGCTAAGCAATTTAATGTTCAGATAGAGCGTCTGATGTTCTACAAAGTTATTCGACATAACGCTACCCCATTTGTGTGTACGCTGTACCATTCTACATTACGCTGAGCTATTTCACGCAACTCTACACCATTTGTGTGCACGCTGTACCATTCGACATTACGCTGAGCCATTCCACGCAACGCTACACTGTTTGTATGTACGCTGTGCCATTCGACATTACGCCGAGCTATTTCACGCAACGCTACACCGTTTGTGCGTACGCTGTGCTACTCGACATTACCCTGTGCCATTTGACGCAACGCTACACCGTTTGTGTACTGTATTACAAATGAGTGCTAAGCTATTCGTAATCGAGCCAGTCCATTTCACAATTTCATGTTCCAACTCGACATAGGCAACTAGACCGTTTATCATTTGGCTAAACTATTCATGTTTAGGGTGTTCTGTTTCATGAAGGAAAACTAAACCGTCTAGAATTTGGCCATGCCATTACTTTATTAGCTATTCTATCCTGCAGCTCATCCTTAAACCAGCTTTGTATTTGCTGATCTATTTGACATCCTTGTATTTTTGGTGGTGACGGCCGCCCAAAGCAACGTCACTAACAAAAAAGTTTAATGAGCAGAACAATGGCTGTGCACGTGCTTTATAAATCTTTGTACATTTCTTTGAGTCCTCTGCGAAACATCAACGTGAAAAGACCAAACTTGGCGTTGCCTTGAGAACGTGAACGACGACGACTAATTTTTTAAATTGCTATTTCTAATGTAACGCTGTGTTCCATATTCAGTTTCGAAATAGTTTTGACAAACCAAATGACTTCATAGTATCGCGAGATTCGCAGGCAAAATATAAGTTCATTTTTTAACCGACTTTGTTCACGGCGTCGCCGCCGTCGTTTCTTAAACTCCCTACTAAACCAACGGGCCCGTAAAGCTGTTCTGTTTTTATATTCAAAATGGAGGTTTCGAAAAGTTGTGAGAATTATACAAGAAAACGAGCAGCCAAAGAAACAAAATGGACTGGTCAGGTTACCAGAGCCTGCTTCCCATTTCAATAACTTTTGATTTTAGAATATGGCTCCTGGGCCGTTAAGTTATCGGGACTTTTGAGAAACGGTCCCCAGGTCAGGTATTCTCTTCAACAATGATTGACCCGTTCATTTTCCTGGAGTGACTCGAAACTAACTTGTCCTTGGAACAACATATTGTCCAGCACAAAGATAGGAGAATAGAAAAACGGAGCAGCTTGAAAGTTTCATTTCTACCACTAAATTTACAAAGAAATGTGTTGCTCATAAGAGGGAGAAATAATTAAGATATAAAAGGTTAAATTAGCCGTGGTATGTCGAAAGGGTTTAAGAGTACACAATTCCAGCCCCAATGAATCCCTAACTCTACACGGCACGTTCCGGACCAAGACCTTGAATAAAGAAAGAAATCAAACGACTGAAGCGAAGTTCTTTTCTTTCTTGGTTTGTTTCTGATTTAAGGCGTAATAAATAAACAAATAGAGGACGGCGATATGAATTGCTCAGAGCCAAGGCATAGTGTGTTACTTTTGTAAATACTCTACCTCCGTTGTAGGCCAGAACGCCACCATTCTGTCTTCCCCAAATCTTATTTCTTCTGATACAGGGATTGCTGCCCGATCTACAGCAAGGAAAGTACACAAGACATTTCATGATAAGTACACGAAGTTAGTAAAATAGAAAGCTCGTTCGAAGTGAGAGCTGGTTTATCTCGCAGTTGGTCTAGAGGCTCAGTTGACTTAAGCACCACACAGGGGTGTGAGGCCGTTTGAAGCTTGCTTCATTGAGCTTTGCCCGAAGTCAAGCTCCCAAGTATGAGTGGGACAAATAACTGAGGAACAGAGGGGGGGAAGGAGGAGAATCCCTGTCTCCTCACATTTCTCCGTTTCCGCCGTTCCTCCCCACTGAAGAGCCATGTCAGCTGTCTCACTGCATGCTCCTTCATTAACAAACTCGCCTAAGGTTTCCTTCCATAACGTTTTGACGCTTTACTAATATATGGAGAATCGTAGCCTATACACTTCACAACACGCAAAAAGGCAACACTAGTTTGGGTTGCTCGCAGTTTTGTCAGCGTCCACACTCGCATAGTTTTATTTTGATTTTGCAAACAAGTATGTGCTCATCCTTTCTTTAAGGTAAGGTACCCCAACCTACTTCAGAGGAGCAGTTTATTTCGAATAAGTTAGCGACAGTAACAATCAAAAGAAATGGCGCAGAACGTAATACATGGGCTGAAAAGGCAGACTGGACACTTGACGAAGACAAGTTTATCACCTTAGTGACACTGGCATTAAAGTGAATAAATTTCTCAAAAATAAGATTTAAAAGTTTGCTTTTAAACACTTTGCCTTTTAAAAATATTTACGGGACATTTAAGAATTCACGTTTCATTTTAAATGACGTAACTTGATTGTAACAAGCTTCAGCAATTTTTTTAAAATTGAAACTAAGTTTAAAATTTATGAAGCCATCATAATAAGGTCAGTCAAACGATACATGTTTGATAAACGAATAGAAATAAAATTAGTTTAGAGGATAATGTAGGCAAGTTAATTTGATACTTTTTAAATTTAAGATAAGCCTTTCATTTAACAATTACGGTGCACTTTTTTATGTTTACTTAGTTTAAAACTTAGGACGTGTTTTACAATTTCAAATCGACCAAACCGGTTAAACTCGATTTAGCTTTGTGCTTTACCCTCAAGTGCAGTTGTTTGTCCCCAGTCCTAGGATGTGCGTCAATTTCTGACGGTTATGGCTGAATTTTGTCTCTTCGTGTCCTTTGGTTATTTAAGGTGCAGAGTGTTAGCGTTTCACAGAATTGTTTGCTTGTTATGTCCAGTTTAGGTACGCTCAGCTGCAAGCTAAAACATAGAGAGAGTGCATAAGCTCCCAAGGGAGTTCATCAAGACAAGTATTCTTTCTATTCATTTAGATTCAATATCAGTTTCATCTAATTTAAAAAATTCGAAAAGAACTCTTATTTATGTTGATTTCAATTGTTCAGAGCAAGATTAAGCAAATCCTAAACAATAACAATTTTTAATGAAGTTGTCTTTTAAACATTTAATGGCATTACCATCGGGAAACTATAATCTGTTAATGTACGTAGCTAATGTGGACGAGTTCTACCTGTTTTCTACTGTGGATCCTGTTGTTTCTGAGCGTGGGTGTACTTCCTATACGCAAGGGAAAGCAAAGAGAACATCAGTGATGGAGACTTTAGATGGTTTCCATGTAGGCATTATTTTCATTGCAGTGTTTTAGGAATACTTTCCAGTTGAAATTCACCAGTCTGCACCAAGTTATAGGATAAAAGCCCTTCTTCAGAGCGATTGGAGGAATTGTGGGTTGTGTGTGGGTTTATATGTAGAAAGTGGAGCTACGCCATTGGTGGGAATATGGTGACGAGAAAACAGGAATAAATTAGTTGAATGAAAAGCGCTCATTGATTCCGTGGGGATTAAGGGTGCCGATTTAGAAGATAAATTTTTGTTCTAGTGTTTTACGGCTTTCCGAACTGCCTAGATGTAAGGAGGGCCAAATTACTTACGACTCATCGCCTGAAAACCTCAAAACTGTAGTTACCATTCCAGAAAATTTACTACTTTCCGATTCAGAAAAATCAGTTCTCAGCAAGGGCTTAAATTTTGTTCCCATATCCAAAAAAACCGACGAATTTTCAGTTAAGCAAGACGTTGAAAAATTCCTTCGCCGCGTTCAGTTAAAAGCCTCTTTTCATGACAAAGAGGATGATTCTAACACCTCGAACAAAGATACTTTCGAAACACTCCAGATTCGAAAGTCTAAATGGACTCCCCCAGAAGGCCAGTTCTCATCTTTAGATTTTTTCCTCAAAAAATGTCGCCACGATATCAACAAACTTAAATTCAATCATGACACCAAATTTTCCAATCTTTCTTCGGAAGAGTGGTCGGCACTAAAAAGTCTAAAAAACGCAAAGACATAGTCATTAAGGCGGCCGACAAAGGCGGCGCAGTTGTTGTTTGGCGGGCCGACCTCTACCAAAAAGAAGCTTTGCGGCAACTTTCTGACACCTCCTTTCATGCTAAAGTCGACAAAGATCTCCATTTTATTAACCAAAACATTGTCAAAAATACGATTAACGATCTTATAGCTAAACAAGAATTGCCGGCCACTGCTAAAAATCTCATCATTACCACTCCTAGAACTTCGTGTATTTACTTTTTACCTAAAATCCACAAACCTAACAACCCAGGTCGACCCATCGTTTCTGCCTGCAGTTGTCCCACCGAACTTATTTCCAGCTATTTAGACAAAATTATGGCGCCTATCGTCAAAACTTACCGTCTTACATTAAGAACAGCCAACACGCACTTGAAATTTTTCAACAAATCGATCGACAGTCAGCACTACAAACGGCTGAGAAGGAAAACATTGACCGCATTCATTTACTCTTACATTTCACCCTCACAACCACGCAGTTAAATCTATCATTCTTAAAAATTTTAAATTTTAAATGTCACTATCTTTTCGCAACCCTCACTTATTTCATTCAAACGTGACAAAAACATAGGCAACCTTTTTAGTCAGGAGTTCATTTCAAACCAATGACCAATCTGGAACTTTTAAATGCGCTCGTGCACGATGCAAAACTTGTCCTTTCATTCATAACGTAGAGAAAATATCGGGACCCAAGAGATCCATTAAGATCACTGATCACTTTACGTGTACCTCCGCCAATGTTATTTACTGCATAACTTGCACTTATTGCAATAAGTTATACATCGGCGAAACAGGAAGACGACTAGGTGACCGATTCCGAGAACACCTTCGCGACGTGGAAAGAAATGACAAGGACGCATCCAAACCAGTCGCTAGACACTTTAATCTTCCTAATCATTCTAAACAGCATATGGCAGTTTGCAGCCTTTCCTTACATCTAGGCAGTTCGGAAAGCCGTAAAACACTAGAACAAAAATTTATCTTCCAAATCGGCACCCTTAATCCCCACGGAATCAATGAGCGCTTTTCATTCAACTAATTTATTCCTGTTTTCTCGTCACCATATTCCCACCAATGGCGTAGCTCCACTTTCTGCATATAAATCCACACACAACCCACAATTCCTCCAATCGCTCTGACGAAGGGCTAACGCTCGAAACGTCAGTTTTTTTTTACTCTTTACGGTGGCTAATTTACGTTTTCAACTCAGTTGTTAACACTAAATTACCTGCTAAACTCTTCCATGACCTATTTTATTAAGTCAGCAAGACGCAAGGGTGTTATTGTTGATTTCGTTGTCCTCTATGAGTCCCGTGCCTTCCTCGTGCTGAGAATAAAAACGACGACATTCATCGTAAGCGAAGCCGGTAAATCTGATCCAAAATCGCTGTTTTTGTCATAGCGGCACACAAAAGGAGAAAATACCATTTTTTGTTCGTGGTTCAGAAATGCAAGTGAGCACATCCTGGGTGAAGAGGGATCTTTGTTGAGTTATTTCGATAGGGCTACGCAGCGATACAAAATATCTGTTTGGGTATTAAAAAAAACCCGAAGAAGGCAATACTAGAACAAGAAGAACAAGTGTAACAAAGGATGGAGAAGATTAACGCGGATTGCAAAAGACAAAGTCGCGGAACAGGGCACAAACGTAGAATTATAAATGATTTTTGATTATTTCTTTGAGAACATAACTCACAGATGACGACAATTTGTAATAAAAACAAAAATGTCGCACACAAGACGCAGCCGAGAGTACCACGGACGTTCTCATCACATCGACATCTTCTGTGGTCTATTACTGTACAGAAGCACAGCAACTTAAATCTATTTGTTTCATATGACAACAAACAAAATGCCGTATATTGTGACATCATCTTTGTGTCTATCCTCCAATAGGTGATAAGTAAGACCCAGTAAAAAAGCGAGTACAATTCAGCTCATCATGTAATACAATATCAATAGTTTCCCGCACTGGCCTTTTGTAAATACTTACCACATAAATTCCCCCGTGAAGTCCGCTGTGTATTCTGTTGCAACGAACAATAGGAATACTCTTAGTTCTGATCTGGATTCCGGCCAGTGCATTGTCTGAACGGGGAAAAACCAAAGAACATCTTGATAAGTTACCGAGGAAGTTTCACAAAATCCGTCATATGAATTGTTGTAGCATCTATCAGTCATGCCAGTGAGTTACCTGAAGAACAACTTTGGATTGAGTGTCAAGAGTTTTACAAACTGCACTAGTTTCCCTTTGCTGCGCGCTGTGATTGGTCGTTAAGAGAGGTTGTCAGTAATTTTCGAGAATCCGGCGACAGAAGCAAAAATTCAACTTTTTTTTTATTTGCTCCAAAAGACCCTTTTGGTGAATCGTTTTCAAAAATAATATTCAAAAGTTCCAGCGAGTTTTTATTTTGGAAAAATACGAAAGTTCGAAATTGGCAAAAACGTACCTAATTTGGATAATTTCTATTGGGCTTTTAGTGCATTTTCACAACGCTCGTACAAGACAACGAAAAATTATCTTGGATTTATTTTTTCATAAGTTGTTTTTCATCCCTTGGAGTAGCTTTGCAACTATATTTCATCTCCAACTGAACTTTCTTTCGTTTGTAACCACCCGCGTAAAGTACACTATCTTTTCTATTTTCCGTTTGTACGCTGAATTTTGCTATATTTCAGACGACCATATTTTTGGCCCGTGAAAAGCGAGCGCGCCAGACCAAAATATACAGCGTGCATTTTCACGGAGTTAGGCCATTTTCTTGCTGTACTCCTACTGCAAATCGCACGCTATTGGGACAAAACTCGACGTGTTTGGTCTCTACTTCAGTTTTGATTCATTTAAATATATCAACTTTTTAACTTAAAAATTAACCTACCTTCATTGTTAAAGGAACAAACCACCGTTTCAGGTAAAGTTTTTGAGTTGATTTTTCTCGAGTGCTAAATAAACAAATCGCTGTTTACAAAGATACCAGCTCTGTCGACGTGTTTTTAATTGAAAAATCGATGGGAAAATCGTAGCGTTTGCTAAAATCAGGAAATAGGGCACTTGTACAAAACCAAAACATTCATTAGTCTACAACTTGATTGTTTATTATCATTATCGCACAGTTCACAATAAGGAAACTGTAACAGGAGGAGATTTTAAATTCACATGTCGCGTGCTTGTTGATGTGCAAGTTCCCGAGTGTAACAACTTCGGCTTTTCCAGAACGCGGATGACGGGAAACTCTGCCCCCTTATTTGATAGGAAATATCAATAGCCCCATAAAATTCATTAACTGCGCCATGTTTCCAGAAAATAAGACTGGAAAATGGTTTTTCCACTTTCCACCATCAAGAAATTCCACGCAGAAATAGTATTTGTAGCGTGACTGCTTGACCTTTCATGATAAGTAAAAATTGTTTTTTTTTTTTTTTTTTTTTTAAGAAGACACCTCCAGAAAGTTCTTTATCCTTCTGTCATCTTGTTTGCCTGTTTTTTGACTGCAAATATTATCTGCATTTTCCATTTTAAAACTCTACTCTTGTCAGACGAAACGCGTGGGAGATAAATACAAGTTTTTACTTTCTCAGTTCGTGCGGTGATGCTGACTAGTTTGTTTCAAAAACGCTTTTAATGTGAAGTCACGTGGAACTCGACAGAAAAATAATCAATGGTTTGATACCGTAAGTACCAATTTAGGTACATCATTGGGCTTTGATCACAATAATGAAAAAAAAATGTGCGTTTCCCCACGCTCGCCACATTTATTCTTTAGAAAATTAACTCTGGCCGACGAAAATTATCGAGGTGAACCCCATGAAATTCTTGTCAAATGTTTTATAAACTTTGTCTACCCTTGATTTGCACGCAAAAAAAGGCAAATTCTGAACGATATTTCAAAATATTTTATTCACCGGTCAATTTATGACCTGTTTTATAACAGCCCGAGGAAAAAGCAAAATTGTTTGTAAGGAGTTTGTAAGTTCATTTTCCCCAGTAAATTTAAGAGAGGGTCAATTTTTTGTGACAGCCGAAAACAGACATCTCTGAAAAGTCTCTGAAACTCTTAAAGAATTCACACTGCCGGTAATATTTTCCTCCCTCTCGCAACAGCGCAACAGACATTGTTAATCCTATGTAGTGTAGGTGTATCAGTTGTATTACGTCTTCATAGTGATGCCATATAAGTAATCGAGTGTCTAGAAAGCTCTCAATTCTCGCGCTGGCCAGGGACGGCAACACCTCACACCTCTAAACTCGTGGGTGTGCAGCATAAAAAAAAAACATTTGAGAGGCGTCAATGTATCCCAAACATGCGTTTCGTCCGAGAAGAAGCTTATTCTAGCGCGTATTGGCTTATTTGGAGATTACGAAGGCCGCGATTTCACGATATGCCTCAAATACCGTGCACAACTTGGTATGAGATTCAGACCTTCGGGTTTGTAAATGCCAGTATCCTCGTCATAAAAATCAGAGACGTAAAGTTGAGAGAGAGGTGAATCTGAAGATGGCAGAAGAAATCAAAGCTGGTGGCGAGTCTTCCTAGTGGCAAGGTGACTGTAAACCTAATAGAACGCGTACTGTAACTGCTATCCTAGAGTCAGCAATTAATAAGGAAGAAGGGCAAGAAGAGCGCTCATCTGAGCATCAGTTTTCCTAACTAATGATTTGTGACTGAAATGAACTTTATATCATATGATTTCTAGGGATACGCAGGTACTGTAGAGACGCTCACATAAATAGAGGTGGGCGATCCTCCCTCTGACTTTAAAACTGCGACAAGTTTATAGCGCAGACCAACTGGCACAGTTTGGAGCACCTCGGGGTCTCAATAGGCTCATTACATTAGAAACCTTCAGCAAACTAATCGTAGAAGTGGGTGGTTATCAGCAACGTGCACAGATCCCTGAACGCGGGCCATCGCGAGAACTATATCCAATCCGTCACAGACAGAACAAGAAAGCGAGATATTCTTGCTAAGAGGAAGGATGTATCAAGACGTTTCAGTCATTGGCTGCCATCCAAAAGCACCCTAACAAAGGCAAACACAGTGAAGCTGACAAAAAAATCCGCCTATGATAAGATTAAGAGAAAATAGACGAAGACCGGCTTGCCATTTTAAAGGGGGTGGCTTCGTTCAAGGTCGGACCTCAGGTAAACTTCTGACGAAACATCCCTAACTAGCCAAATGGACTTTGCATGGGCTCTTAGGAAAACACAAAAACCAGCCACCTTTTCTCAGAAAGCAAAGATTTATCTCCTTGACATGAACTGGACAGGGGAGGAAACTAGTAAGGCAACCGCCTCTAACAAGGCTGAAGATAAGGAGTGACCTTGCAAATTTAGACGAAGACTGCAGGAGAGGGTACAGCTGCTATTAAGCTAAAAAAAAAAAAAGAAGATCTTTGCATCTCACTTTTCAAAGTTGTCAAATATTTGGATGAATCGAAAAGTCTAAAAACTCAGTCGTTTATTTGCCTCTGTTGATTGACAAGCCGTCAATCAAATTGACTGATACTTGAGGTGGACATTAACTAAGGATCAAGAAAAACCGGGGGGGGGGGTGGTGGTCTATATTCCCCCGGAAAAAACCAAAGCAGAAACCAGTTTGTATTTTTTAGTTTTAGGGTAGATCCTTTAACCTGGCAAAGTTTCGTTGAAATCGGTGAGATGGAATGTAGCACGACTGCCCGGTGCTACATGCCATTTTTCTCGGATTTCTTCGACAATTTTTACCAACAGAATTCCAACCTACAGTTGATTTGAAAATGTATCTAAACACGTGAACTACACAAACATACTATTTTAATCACAGTGACAGTGGTAGAAATCTATAAAAGCAACCGAGCGAAACACCGAATGTACACACAAGGTTCATGCACAATTTAGTGAGTATTTTCATGGGACAACTACATGTTTCGAATATTTTATGTGTGCGAAGATTTTATCTAAATCACGCTCACGTATTTACAACAACATTTATAGTTACATGTAATTTACTCTAAAGTAATGCCAGTGGGATAGATTGTAAATTAAACAACAATATATGCGACAGGCCAATTTCAGCTAAAAACACGTCGACAGAGCTGGTATCTTTGTAAACAGCGATTTGTTTATTTAGCACTCGAGAAAAATCAACTCAAAAACTTTACCTGAAACGGTGGTTTGTTCACTTAACAATGAAGGTAGGTTAATTTTTAATTAAAAATTGATATGTTTAAATGAATCAAAACTGAAGTAGAAACCAAACACGTCGAGTTTTGTCCCAATAGCGTGCGATTTGCAGTAGGAGTACAGCAATTATTGGCCTAACTCCGTGAAAATGCGCGCTATATATTTTGGTCTGGCGCGCTCGCTTTTCACGGGCCAAAAATAATATTTTTACATGATAAACACGAAGAATTTCTCGTGGAAAAGAGCTCTTTTATTTTATGTACATTTGTATACCCTCGATGTTATGGTCGTCTGAAATATAGTAAAATTCAGCGTACAAACGGAATAGAAAAGATAGTGTACTTTACGCGGGTGGTTACAAACGAAAAGTTCAGTTGGAGATGAAATATAGTTGCAAAGCTACTCCAAGGGATGAAAAACAACTTATGAAAAAATAAATCCAAGATAATTTTTCATTGTCTCGTACGAGCGTTGTGAAAATGCACTAAAAGCCCAATAGAAATTATGCAAATTAGGTAAGTTTTGGCCGATTTCGAACTTTCGTATTTTTTTTCCAAAATAAAAACTCGCTCGAACTTTTGAATATTTTTTTTGAAAACGATTCACCAAAGGGTCTTTTGGAGCAAATACAAAAAAAAGTTGAATTTTTGCTTCTGTCACCGGATTCTCGAAAATTACTGACAACCTCTCTTAAAACTCACGCCATCCTCAGCTAATGAGACGCAAAATCACGACTCGATCACTCGCGTTATCACGCACTTCAGGTAGGTTGAGCTTGTTTCGGGATAAATGTTAATAACCGATAGCACACTTACCCCTCCCCTAACCCAAAAACAGTCAACTGATAACAAGTTAGGGTTACTGTTGGGTTAGGGGTGGGGTAGGTATGCAGTTGCTCAGATACTAACATTGATCCATGTTTTCTTTCAGGTCCAATTGACTGTCGTGGTTAATTTTGCTTTTGTTGCACTTAATCGAGAAAACCTTGGCACAAATGATTACTTGAACAATCTGTTTGACAAACTTGAAGTAGGGACTAAGAGACAAAATCAATACAAACCATGAATGTTATTTCCTTCAATCAATCCATTTCCTTCGCCGAATACATAAACTCCTACAAGAGACAAACGAGACCTTAATGCCTTCGTAAGATTATAAATCAAGTCAAATAAAGGTAGCTTGGATTTAAAGAGAAATCTTGATTAAGTTCCCAGTTCACAACAATGGCGCTAAAGAAACATGATGGTGATTAACTTTTATTTACATGTTTTCAGTGCATTTATATCGAGTTTCGCAATGTTCATAATCATGTCAATTTCATGGTGTATTGATGAGCGCGATCACGGAAAAAAAAGCAGTAACGACAACAACAAAGCAATTCAGATACAAAAAGTGTCGTTCACCTCCTTGTTGTCCATCGTAGATCTCGTTGTTTCTAAAATACAATAAATTGAAGTAGTTAGCAAGTTTACAATGAACCGTAATCTTGTCAAGGAGAAGCTAGAAGCGAAATGGTAAACCTCTCATACTGTACAACGAAGAACTAACCATTCCGGAGTTTGTGCAGAGTTTGCAAAAAATAGCAAAATCACAGATTAAATAGTTGCTTTTCAAGAAATTGAGGTAATGCCAAGTGCAGCCTGTGAGCATGCGCTCACCATAAGCACTTCGGGACGGGCGTTTCTTCACTCGTGGGATAGTATATGAGGCCTTGAGCAATGCAACTCAACTAGATGTCTGCCAGGGACAGGGACCCCCGCCAAACCTTACCGATATTCGTCTCATTTGTTCCCGCGAGCGGAGAAACGCGCGGTCTGCAGCGCTATTAGAAGGCACTTCCTTCAAGGTGTACTCATGATGAGTGCGCACCTACTTTGGACAAATTTTCCCCGGCATTGAATATTGACAAGTTTTGCGTGCGAAGTTTTTTTTCAATCCAAAAGACGTGAGAGATTTCGAACAAGGAGACTAATGAAGAAATTTTGCAATCTAATAAACAGAAGAACACGAAAATCTTTCTTACTTTATGGTTGGATTGCTCTGTGATGTGATCCAAACTCCAGCGTATGTGTTAGAATATATCTTATTTTCCAGGAATTCACCACGTGCCTGTTAGTTAAATATACACCATTAAGTTTTTAAAACACACAAATATATTTGCAATGTAAATGAAACAAAGTGTACTTACATCGTCATGACAGTATATGCCACCCGTCATACCGTGGTGTATTTTACATCCCACGACTGTTGGATTGGCGTGTGACCGAATCTCAAATCCGGCTATACGGTTGTTGTAAACATCGTTTCCTTCATAGTAGCCCTGCAATTACAAGAACTATTTTATTAGTCTGTAGTGTGACAAACAGCAGCCCTTTAAAACGGCCGAAGATGAGGAACTGCTCGAGGCGCATCCAGGAGCAATTGTAGATTCTTTAATGAAAGCTCAAAATAAATGTTCTTCAATTTTTTTAGGGCTTGACAAAAGCCGAAAACCTGAAGAAGAGTTAGTATATACTAGTAGAGGAAGTTTCAGGTGTACTGCATACACATTTCTTCGCTAGTTTTTTCCCACAAACAAGAACGCGCAGCTAAACTGGAGGCAAAATGCCACCGCGCACACCAAGTTCACACGGCCGTGCCTCTCAAGAATTATATGATAAGCTGTTTTGTACACGTAGTTTGATTGGTTCTAACTTATGATCTATTGCGCAGCGTCTCGTGTGCCTTTCAGTTCTAGTTCTTACCACATTTTGACGTCATCTGTGAAGTAATACTTAACAGACTCACTTGTCTTATATGATAAAAAGGCAAAATGTAATTTATGGCGATGTCATCTATGCGTCTGTCCTCAATGGATCATACCAAGTGAATATTATCTTGATCATACGTAAGATCCGATCAAATGCGTGCGTAATTCTGCTTATCTTAAAAAGAGATGTAGACCAAGATGGTTAAATAAGACCTAAAGACCGCGCGCTATGTCATTATATGGGATGTTGAATGACAGAGATATTAAAATATTGAAATAGTCTGCGAAAAAACTCACCAATCCATAATCGAAGATAAAGAAGCCGACATCTCTGCCATGATGCACTTTATTCCTTCTCATGATAGGACTGGCATGATTCCGTACCCACACCCCTGCCAACTTGATGTTTGTAATCTCGCAGTCTTCATACGTTCCCTGTGAAACAGTTACAATCAAAAGTGTAAAGGCATGTTCAGCTTTCTCTTTTTCTTCTACCAGTAAGACAACGGCCCAGTAGTTCGCGTGCTAGCCTCCGGTTTGAGAGGTCTAGGCACAAGCCTTGGCTGGGTCATTACAGTAAGGTCCTACTCTTACATGGTCTTTTCCACTCAGTAGTATTGATAAAGACCACGCAAACTGTCTTGAAAACTCGTCAAAATGATGTAGTGGGGGTCTCCAATACGATATCGTAACAGGGTAAGTCATGAATGATTTTGTCAATTCATTTCCTGCTCTGCCGTACGGGGTAAAAGCTCTGGTATGAAATCCCTTATGTCTTTTGATGACCCACACTTGAGTACAGTCCACGGACTAGTGTTAAACGATAAAAATAGAACTATATTTAACCTGAAATATTGTAAGGGTTTCCATATATTGGTGTTGGGAAAAAAAATGGAAATATTATATTACTTTAAGCCATTCGATACAAAAATTATAACCTTTTTCACCTTTTTCTTATTGCGGTTGTGAATTTGGTACGGAAACAGTTGCTCCGTTTCTACGGTGATTAGATCTTGTTGTACTATTTTGTGATAAACTATGTTTTTAATTATGTCAATTTTCTAGTTGTAAATCTCTCTGGTAAAAGTTAACCTCGCACAGGAATTCCTGGAAACTCCTGCTTCTTATACTATTGATTACTATCAGACTGGTTTTTTTTGGTCAAATTCTAAGTCAAATTCACGATTCCAGAATATTTCTTAAATTTTAAGTTAAGACCTTCAACACCTCTTCTTAAAGGTGACTCTGATTGTAAATAGCTTATGCTTTTTCATCTCCGCACTGAATTTGTAATTATATAACTTATGCGAATAGCACGTAGTTTTCTTAGGGGCGGTACCTTGGGTACACCCCTTCTTCTCCGAATTTTCTGTTTACTCTATTGTTATATAACAATCTTCTAAGGCTATTTTCTCGTAAACTATCTTTTCAAGCGTAATTTCAATTCTACCAATAGGTTAATTATAATTTTTATATTATCAATCTTGTCTTCGTTCTGGCCTATCTCAACCGTAAAATTAAGAAATTTAAGGTAGAAGATGATTTTGTGATTGCGTAAACAATTCGAAGGTGCATACTTAGTATGCAGGAACTGTCCTACGTACTCTAACGTGATTCGCTGGCTGAAACGGAGCGATCGCGATGTAAGAAGATTGACAGCTTAGAAGTGTCATCTTTGGTGTCACCTTTATAAGCTGGTGCACAGCATTTCTCAATGAGAGAATATAGCAAAGCAGAACAGTATGGACTTATGTCGAAAGAAATAGGTTGAACGGTGGTGAATAAGATCAATACTGGGCTGCTTCCCGAGAGTAATAATTGTACCAGGAGTTCAAACCGGAAATAAAGAAAATTCAACCGAGTGTTAAAGAGTAATTCTTCTAACACCAGTTATTCAAACAAAGTTCAGCCGTTGTTTAATAAAACTGCGTTCTTAGCTATCTTCAATTTAGCCAAAAGAGGGCCGAAAGCTGTTAGTGGAAGGACACTTAGTTCATTTAATCAACCCTCTTATAGAGAATACCTGAGGCCCACTGCTTACGTAAAACCGCGGCTTGGGTTAGACCACGGGACGGGGTGAATAACTGGCCCCATAAGTCTTCAGCAAGGAAAGGGGTTCAAGAATTTGCTGTAAATTTTGGATTATTTCTCACCTGCGCATCATCTGTGATGAAAATGCCAACATTTTCTGAGTCTGAGATAAAACATTTTGACAAAATCGGTCTGGCTCCTCTTCCATGTACATAAACTGTGGCACCAGCTATGAACAAAAATAAAATCAACTGTCCACTGATTCCCACATATTACTGACATTACTACAAGTTTGTTTGAACTTTAAAAAAAAAACAAAAATTATAAATATGACGTCTAAATGACTTCTAATGTCTCTCTCTTACCACTAGCAAGGCTATTAAGCTTGCAGTTGTAGATTGTAGGACCACAGTCATCAACAACCTCCACACATCCTGATCTGATCACCTCAGATTCACCGTTTGGGCAATTCTGCGAACAAGGAAGTCCATCGAAATGAAAAAAGTGGGTTTAGTTTTCCAAGAAACAGCGAGAGGTCTGCAAGGGGTCTGGCACTGATCATTCTTAGTGCCAGACCCCCCAAAAAACCTCTCCCGACTCGTCTCAAATCTTCCAGCGGCAAAAAATACGCGTAATGCAGTGCTATTAATTTTTGTGCTAAGTCTAGCCAAGATTTTAAAAATTTCGTTTTTTTGCTATTTAGTTAGAGAAAGTAGTTAAGTTTAATTACCAAAAAAATTTTAAAATCTTATGAAGAACGCGAAATACGGCTGAAAGAGTGTTTCAGGGTAACTAGTACCCAAGAGCGAAAGGTGTCATAACAGGAAAGACCTCCGGCAGAGTGTTGACTTTTTTTCGCGGGCTCTCGTCTGGGATCTTGATCTGCATATTAATTCGTGTTCCCAGTTTCGCAAAATGACCTTTCCCGCGAATTTCAAGAGTTCCTTGTCACGAGATTTGCCAAGGGGTTCGATGTTGGGTTTCGTCGGCGGCATAACCGCATGGACACGCGCGTAAATGAGGTGCGAAAACTGTGAATTTCTTAGGAGGCCGAAAATTCGAGGTTTGTTTTTACGCGAACTGCCTCTACTTGAACGAACCAAAAAAGGAGTGTAGATTTGATAAATTATCGTGAGAATCGGCCAGAGTATTTGTCAGATATAAAGCCACAAAAGAGTTGAGTTTAAAGGTTCGCGCGCGCTTACCAAAATCAAAACTTCGAAAAATGTTACTTCCGCAATCCATACTTAAAAAGCTTTACAGTGATATATAGTTTTCCACGGTTTCTTTAAAAGTAGCGCGCGTAGGACGATTTTTCCGTAAGGTTCCCCATTCTTTTGACATTACCCCTTGGAGCAGTTTTCTGTACATACCTTCAAGGTGACATGCCCAAGGAAAGAGCTGCCTGAACCAGCAATAAAACTAACAACTGTTGAAGAATCACACTGAATGACGACAGGATCATCTTCGCTCTTAGCTGTCGATAAAAAAAGAAGCCATCCCGTGAGCAAGTCGCTCATTTCTGGTTAAAATGTTAACCGAAACTTAACTTTTCATGATGTCTTGTCTGTCTTAGGATGTGGAGATAAAAAACAGTCATTTAATAATCATAAATGTATCATGACAAGCATGATCCATAATTCAGAACCTTGCCTTGGAAGACACTTCATGCCTTCCTTCAAAATCCAAGTTATACGCCCTGGATCTTAAAGATGTCACACGCAGGTTTGAATGAGCCCAATGAGGAAAAATGGAAAAAGAATCAAACAACAAAATAGAAAGGGGAAAGCAAGTAGTGACAGTTATCATGAAAATCCCTTATCGTTGATGTTGAAAGACACACTTAGTCTAGAGAGGCTCCTTATATGCAAACTGGGGAGCTAAGGGGGGAGGGCAGTGTGAAACCCACAGGATGTAAATTTCCTTTCTCTACATTGACAGTGGCTGCCTGCAAATTCCCTTTAAAAGTAATCAGAGGGAACAGTTTTGGATTGGCAAGTCAGTAGGAAGTTTAAATGATGAATTAAAATGCAGCTCTAACTGATGACAGACTTTTCATTGCAAGTTAAAGATCAACGTAGAGACCACCGGAGAAGACACTCTAGTTAATGACAGACCTTTCATTGCAAGTTATAGATTAATTTAGATACCACTTGAGAGAAATATGAAATATTTACTAAGGTTCTAGAAATAATTAAGTAACATTGTGGTGTACCTGCTCCAATGATTACAACAGGCTTGCTGATTGACAGCTGTTCATCATACACACCACTGTGTACAATTATGGCCCCATCATCTTGCACAGCATCCAAAACTTCTCTGATTGTTTCATGATACTAAAAACAGAGAGAGTATAAAATATGCAGTTTGTCAACTTAGTTAAACCTCTATAAACCATCTGTTGTGTGATCATTGGCTCTTAACTCTCAGAAAAGAAAAATAAGGAACACTGTAAAAACTTTCCGAGTCACCCAACAGTGCACATGAGAAAATTTATGTAGATTTTACTGGATTCTAGGAGCACTATGGAAATTACTCTGACTGAATTAATTGCTAGCAAAAAAATTTTGTTCTTGGCAACTCAAATGATCAAAGAGGAAAAATTTTTAAACAACTGGGTAAAAAATACCAAATACAGTAGCGACCAATGAAAAAAGTTTGAAACATATTTTTTGATTGTTGTATAAAATATCTAATAAAAAAGGTTGCATTTTACCATGTCTGTATCTTTTCAATTAAAAATCTTGTAAGATGCCACAAATGTGGTAAAAACATCATGGAATTTCAATCACCTGAAGCTTGTGTACCTCTTTAATCAAATGTTCTAATCGCAATTTAATGCCATTTGTTATTGACAACAACCAGTAAACATACACAGTAATAAGAAATCTTTGGGTTAACCAAATTATAGTCAGCAGCTAAGTGAGAGCTGTTTTCACACCTTTATCAATCACCTGACATCTTAATAACACCCTTAACACTTTGACCCTTAAAAGTGACCAGCATCTAATTTCTCCATACAATATCACCCTCAAATCACAAATTTAGGTCATGAGAATAAATTAAATGATCACCAACTAAGCAAGCGCTTGATTGTTAAAAAAATTATCCTTGTCAGCACAGGATAAAATGTATAGAGGACAGTATGGAGAATATGCATGCTGATGTGAGGGTGTAAAGGGTTAATACCCCCCCCTGCTCATTCTGTTTTGGTCACTCCTTGGAGTTAAAGGGTTCACTTATTTTGGGTCAATTAGAGAATTGATGGAAGTATGAAGAGGCCATTTTTAAGGTTACTGATGAAACTGTATATTGTTACTCTGTTAAAAGGAATATTTTTGATGATTTGCAAATTCAAGATGAATTTTATTGCAAAGAGTCAATTTCTAAAGTGCACAGAGCTAGAGAAACAAAATGATAAAAAAATTCATATGTGCACAACAAATATTCCCAGCAGTTACTCAAAGCTTCTCAACAGAGCAGGTAAAAACATTGAAGTGCCTGTCACCCTTAATATCAGTCTATCTTCTTCTCTGAACCCTTTGACTCCCATGGGTGACTGAGACATAATTCTCCTCACAATATTGACTCTTATGGGTGACTGAGACATAATTCTCCTCACAATATTGACTCTCATAGGTGACTGAGACATAATTCTCCTTACAATATTGACTCCCATGGGTGACTGAGACATAATTCTCCTTACAATATTGACTCTCATGGGTGACTGAGACATAATTCTCCTCACAATATTGACTCTCATGGGTGACTGCAACATAATTTTACTTACAATATTGACTCCCATGGGTGACTGACACATAATTCTCCTTACAATATTGACTCTCATGGGTGACTGAGACATAATTCTACTTACAATATTGACTCTCATGGGTGACTGAGACATAATTTTACTTACAATATTGACTCTCATGGGTGACTGCAACATAATTTTACTTACAATATTGACTCTCATGGGTGACTGAGACATAATTCTCCTTACAATATTGACTCTCATGGGTGACTGAGACATAATTCTCCTGACAATATTGACTCTCATGGGTGACTGCAACATAATTTTACTTACAATATTGACTCTCATGGGTGACTGAGACATAATTCTCCTTACAATATTGACTCTCATGGGTGACTGAGACATAATTCTCCTTACAATATTGACTCTCATGGGTGACTGAGACATAATTCTACTTACAATATTGACTCTCATGGGTGACTGAGACATAATTCTCCTTACAATATTGACTCTCATGGGTGACTGAGACATAATTCTCCTCACAATATTGACTCTCATGGGTGACTGAGACATAATTCTCCTTACAATATTGACTCTCATGGGTGACTGAGACATAATTCTCCTCACAATATTGACTCTCATGGGTGACTGAGACATAATTCTCCTTACAATATTGACTCTCATGGGTGACTGAGACATAATTCTACTTACAATATTGACTCTCATGGGTGACTGAGACATAATTCTCCTTACAATATTGACTCTCATGGGTGACTGAGACATAATTCTCCTTACAATACTGACTCTCATGGGTGACTGAGACATAATTCTCCTGACAATATTGACTCTCATGGGTGACTGAGACATAATTCTCCTCACAATATTGACTCTCATGGGTGACTGAGACATAATTCTACTTACAATATTGACTCTCATGGGTGACTGAGACATAATTCTACTTACAATATTGACTCCCATGGGTGACTGAGACATAATTCTACTTACAATATTGACTCTCATGAGTGACTGAGACATAATTCTACTTACAATATTGACTCTTATGGGTGACTGAGACATAATTCTACTTACAATATTGACTCTCATGGGTGACTGAGACATAATTCTCCTTACAATATTGACTCTCATGGGTGACTGAGACATAATTCTCCTGACAATATTGACTCTCATGGGTGACTGAGACATAATTCTCCTCACAATATTGACTCTCATGGGTGACTGAGACATAATTCTCCTTACAATACTGACTCTCATGGGTGACTGAGACATAATTCTCCTGACAATATTGACTCTCATGGGTGACTGAGACATAATTCTCCTCACAATATTGACTCTCATGGGTGACTGAGACATAATTCTCCTTACAATACTGACTCCCATGGGTGACTGACACATAATTCTCCTCACAATATTGACTCTCATGGGTGACTGAGACATAATTCTCCTCAGAATATTGACTCTCATGGGTGACTGAGACATAATTCTCCTTACAATATTGACTCTTATGGGTGACTGAGACATAATTCTCCTTACAATATCAATTCAACATCAAGCAAACAAGTGATGAGGATAAAGAAAACCCAGAGAAGTTCCAACCCTTATCCATCAATCCAAAAAATATCAATGCCATGAATAGTGACAGAGCTCTGAACATTGTCAACCAGGAAATCAAGAAAACAGAACAAATAAAATTGCTTGGCATCTACATCAATGAAAATCTTAACTTCACAGGTCATATCAGCAACCTATGCACTAGAGCTTGCAGAAACGTAGGATTATTAGTGCATGTGTGCAATCTTCTTCCATGTAACGCCAAGTTAACATTGTACAAGAGTGCCATATTACCACATCTAACTTACTGCCACCTTGTATGTAATTTTTGCAAGTCATCCAAAAGTAGGAAGATTGTGCAGGTACAGGAGGGTGCACTACAAGCAATATATAAATCACTTGCTACAAACTATGTAAATCGTGAACAGAATCATTTTATATCATTTCATAGTATTTATTATTATGCTGTCAACAAGTATTTTAAACATTTACTTATTAATTTTTGTACACTAGTTATTGGCTATTGACTATATTTAGGTGTCCCCAATTAGCTAATTTACAGCTAAAAACACAGACACATTAATAAAGTTTCCATTCATTCATTCAAAAACCTCAATCAGGGGAGTAATAGTTAATCCAATACCAAATTCTCCTAATTGAGATCATGGGAGTAAAAGGGTTAAAAACACATGGAAAACAAGCAAGAACAAGCAGAAAACTATGATTTGATGTTATTCATGAGGTCACTTAAGAGTAAACCCCAGGCATTAGGAGGACTGGCATTAGCAAGGGTCATGAGGTCCAGCCTGTATCTTAGCTACAAGAAAAATAAATTAAAAAAGGTACTGTTGTGGCTTAGCTATGATTGTAAATTGTTGTAAATTGCCAGCATTTGTGACTGTCTTATCTGGCATGACTCCAACTGATCTGCTAGCTTTTGCTGTTCTGTGATGCTAGGTCTGCCCAATGAGTAAGTTAGTGCCCAGCCTTTAATTGCTCCTTTATTGTATTCAATAATAAAGAACAAGGGCTATTACTGTGAGCTTTGAGAGCTGATAAAATAGTGAATGATCAAATGCAAACCTTTTTTTGTTTTTGCTTTAGGTCTTGGAGAAATATTAATTTTCACAATTCTTTTAACTTAAGAAAAGCTGATGGGCACTTAAAATAGATACTGGCAAATCAGCACCTAAGTGAAAACAGTAAGGTAAGAACAATGTTAGGGGAGAGGGATGACAAGAGAAGCCACTCATTTAGGCCATTTACTGCTGATTGAATCTTCACTACACCATTATAATCAAAACATCCTACAAAACATTATCCCCCTCAAAGCATTAAGTGACCTACATGTACAGAGATGAAATGATTTCAAACTTTAACTCCCATGAGTGACCAAGACAGAATTTCTCCTTACAATATCAATACAATATCAAGCAGACAAGTTATGAGAGTAAAGAAAAATATAAATCAGGGGATTATTTGTTGATCCAACACCAATTCTCCAAACTAACATCATAAAAATAACATGGCAGACAGTAAGAAGAATTACTAATGAGATCTTGGCAGTTAAAGGATTAAAATGACATATTTTATAAGATTATTATGAAGTGGCCCATAAAGAGAAATTTGCATAAATATCTGGTCAAGACAAAACTGAATGTGGTCTGAGCTTGACACAAAGGAGAATGGCAACATTTGGAAAAATTGAAAGACAGCAAGCATTTCTGGCATAGAAAATACTTTAACAGAACAGAATAGGATTTGCTTCAGATGCCTTTTGAACACTCATTTTCGTCCTTGCATACAAAAAATAAAAATTTAATTATAGCCCTAACACACTCATTAGATTGTTAAAAAGCAGTTTGCACTTCACTTTCATGTATGTTAAGTGATATGAGTCAGGGGAAGTCTTGTTCAGTGCTTGCAAACTTAAAAAAATCTTTGCTGAAAGTAGATGTCACTGGTTTTTTCAGAAATAACTTCACCTTTCATTGGGTTATCTCCTTATGCTACAATACTGTTATCTATGGTCCATAATTTCCATGCCTGAGTAGTGGATGCACATTAAGAAAGTAGTAGTTTTTGGTACATTTTACAGCTTTCAGTGGTAGAAATTTCCTAGTAAACAAGTTCAATGTGCACACAACCCTTACCTCACTATTTTGATAACATTATACCCCATTTAAGGTAATCCAGGACAGCATTGATTCTAGATTCCAAGCTGTGGATTCTGGATTACAGTTGCTGGATTCCAAATTCTACCTTAAGCAGATTCTGGATTCCAAAACATGAAAGATTCCAGATTTTAGTTCCTGGTTTGCTCCTTATTTCTGCATTGCGTTTTCTAGGAATGACTTCAATGGCAGATTTCGTAATTGAATGACATGTTTTTCTATTTATATTTCCACAACAACAGTTGATAATTACAAGAAATATATTATTAATAGCAAATTGAGGGATAAATTTTTCTTCTAAGAATACCTATTGAGACTGTCCATTTTTAAGTCCAATATCCATTCATTCCACATCTTTTTTGCAACTCTGAAGAGGTGTACCATATTTCTTTCATTCAGGTTCCTCAAGGTTCTTCAAGTGATTTAGCAGTATCAAAAGAACTAATAGTTCAAATCATTGCTTATCATTTTTCATTTGTAAATAACTATTGGAGTAAAAAGTTGTTTTAGCACAGCATAACATTGTTCCAACTGGGAAAAGGTGGCCAATTTTTGTAATCCAAAATTGACTTCATGGAGAACTGTCAACAAAACAGCTTGAAAATATTTCCCAATCATCTCAAAGTACTTTTTTAACTTTCCTTTTAAACAAAAACCATAGTATTAAATTGCCAAAAAATTTAAACTGAAATATAATTTTGATAACACCCTGTGTATCTTGTAAATAAATCACAGACTATGACTAAGAAAAGCTTGTTTTCCTACATGTTTTTGACGATGATGTTTGCCATTACAAGATTGTGCATATAATGGTGTTCAACCAACTCAACTATACTTAACCCTTTGCAAAATTGCAAAAGATCTGCATCTACACAGTAATTTTCCAAGAATAACAGATTCTCTTTTCTACATTTCCTATTTTCTTTATAACATTAGCCAAGTCAAGTCATATTAAGTTGGCTATGAATTCTCCAGAGCAATAATTCCAAAGGTCTAAGGTGGCCTGCTGATATTTTCCTGTTAGGCCCTTAAATCTGGTAATATCTTATTTTATTTGCACTGAGATATGATGCCCTGTGAAATCTTAAATTTTGATATTCCAAATGCCAATATCAAAGAAAGCGGTTTATGTTTAATTGCCATAATTTTGACTTAGAAATAGACCTCCCCCGGTCCATAAATATTCATATATATATTTAATCAAAGTTTATTGTAAATGGAAACATGTGGTCTGTTGCCATGTTAGAATCTGAGCAAATCCTGTGGGATTTGAACACTGTTTTTATGTAAACAATCTCTGTAGTCCCTCTAAAGTTACATTGAGTGAACTGCAGTATACTGTGGTTGCATCGGTCATGATAAAACGCAGACTGCAGACCATGCAGACTGTGCAGACCAAGCAGGCTGTGTGTGTCTTATGTTTTCTTTTTTTTAAACTGTGATTTACATATGATTATGGTGTGTAAACTTTTTTCTTACTCTTTTGGTAACATTGGAACTGTTTCCAATTTTTGGACACCACATGACAGAATCTTATGAGGTTCTTTCGAGTTTACGTTCTCTGGCAAAACAAAATCGTGGGGTCAAGTTTCTCGAGCTTGTGCAGATTAGCCCCACATGGCAAGATGTAATTTGTGTGGACCGTGACATTGATTTAGAGGTGAGGAATGTGCTGTGTGAACGAAGCAAATGATAACCAGGATCTTCACAAGACAGCCCAAAGAACTTTACAGTAAAGAAATTTCTGTAAGCTAAAATCGAACTTTACAAGGAAGGTTTTTGAATCGGAGTAGAAGACTGATTGGTAGTTACTGAGTAAGGAACTTTGGCCAGGTCAGTATCGAAGTCGATTGGGTGATAGGTCATGAATGAATTTGTCAGTGTCTCGCGAGATGTAGCAGTCGAAATTCTCCGGAGAACAAAGCGCGGTCCACATGGTCTGCAGTCTGCGTTTTAGCATTACCGTGGTTGCCTGGATGCGCGTGAAAGCCGTTTATGCGATTTGAAATAAATTTTCAGCGAATAGATTCTGGATACATTCTTTAGAGGGATTCTGGATTCCAATGCCCACTATTCCAGATTCCACAAGCAAAAATTTTCTGGATTCCGGTATCCTGTTTACGTTACATGGGGCGAAACATTACTATGAACAAACGCCTGCAACAGAGCTTGCTTTCAACTGGCCAAGGTGTTTTGATCATATACCTCGCTCTGTACAGTGTATGGATGGAACTATCCCTTAAGTTTAGGAATTCAGCTCATAAACACTTTGATAGTTACTTTCCTAGATAAGTTTGTCTTACCTGGGCGAAATAAACACGGAATAAATCCCCCAGGGAGTTGAGAACACGCAAACTGTAGCTGACTTAACAAATATGGTGGAAGGCGACGCTAGAGTCCAGTCTGCTCTCGACTTACTATTAGCCCGTGTGGAGTAAGCAACGCGAAAAGGGGAAAAGGGTGACTCTTGAAGATTAAAAAATATAAATACGTATATATATATATATATATATATTTATCGAACCGTTTTTTTTAATTCCCCCAGATGTTCTCCAACAGTGTCTGCTTCGAAAACTACAATTAAAAAATAAATAAATAAAGAATAGGTCAGCACGCCTGCGTTATGCTGGGCCAATCTTAACCTTTTATGGCTGTACTGGTACTAATCTCTCACGTTATAGTTCATCAGTTCACGGTACATTTTGTGGTAGCTGGAAGCTGAGGTTTTAAAATAACACCTGAAAAAAATACTTGATAGGTAGAAAGTCTCGAGTGTATGGAACAATGTAATATATAATTTGTGGAAAAATCGCGCAGTTTTAAACTACATTGACTTAGAACGTTCCTCGAGTCGGAGGGTGATGATTGCATCCTCGAGCAACAAGCTTCGTGTACACTTTTAGTTGTATCTTTTTTCCTCCAATAATTTGTTTTAATTTCTCTAATTTAAAGGGAATAATTTGTCCAGGTTGCCGTACTCGTTCACGAGCAAAAGACCATCGTACCTGTTTACCTCGTCCATTGATTGGAAAACAATACCATGTCTCAGAATGCACGCTTATTTTCTTTGTCTTCCTTTTTCCGCGGTTCGTGTATGTCACATCTACTTGTTACATCATGGTCTGTGTTTTTATATTCCAGCTGGAGTTTTAAATGTTGGTTCACGCTGGCCATCACTGGAGAGACGGAGAAACGCGTCTTGCAGCGCTAAAAATGAAGGTCTACTCATATCTAAGATTTGAGTCTGATATTTAAAGGCATAAATTTTATTAGCGATGGATTTTATTGAAAGTAAAGATAACTGAGTCAATAAATGAAAAAAATCTGTAAAAAATATACAAGTCAGTGAGTAACCCAAAACATCAAATACGAGAAAAATTATTTGTTGAGACTACTTTTGTCCTCGAAATGTTAGGGCACCCTCGAACGTTGTCATAACATTGATAAAGATCTAGTTGTTTGGCGAGATTATACCTGGATCCGGCATCTTTTAAACATTTTGAAAAAAATTTCAAGTGTCACAGCGACTGTTTTGATAAAACTGGTAAGGTTTTGGAGTTAATGAATTTAAGTATTGTGTCACGACTGACAATCCTTTCACACAAAAATAAACTGAATTTGAGATGTTTTCTTTTTCAGTACGAATCCTCAGCTTCGCTTATTATCCTGGGTCTTATGATGTCTCTTTCAGTCTGATTATCGTTCAATGCATTTTATGAATCTGGTGCTGATACATCAAAACATTTTGATTCTTTCAAGTTCTTGATTTCATATTTCAACCTATGGTCTGTAATGAATGATGTGAAAAAACTGACATTTAAGTCAAGGGTCCAACTAGTTATTTGTTTCATAGAATTGCAAGGTTCATTTATCTTGCTCTTTTTTTAAGAGCAATCAAGTTGCGGTGATACGACTAGCTCGGAATCCAAAGCAAGAAAATTATTATCCGGAAGTGAAGACAATAACAATTTCACTCAAAATTTTACCGAATGTTTATTTTGAGTTTTCGGTTCAAGAACTAAAACAAACGTAGAAGCAGTTTCAATTACTTCTAGCGTTTTCTGTCAATGATGTACACTGAAATAATTTGTGAAGTTTCTTAAAATTGCAAAGAAACTGCTTATTGAAGTCTTATCAGTAAACATTACGAGTTACTTGACATTTATTTGCCCGAGAATGTTAATGAGGCAGCTTTTTTTTTTTTAAGAAAGTCTGTCAAGGGTCGTCAAGGTCAGGAAATAACTTACATCTCCTTGACGTTTAGCAAGAAAATAGATCTATTGAAATACTCATTCCACAACAAAAATGTTCAACAACTCTAGTTTATTTTCTAAGCATCAAAGCAGCTTGCTCACGTCGTGCACCTCACATATTTTCAACAAAGACGGGAATGACTCCTTCCCTCGTATCGTTTTCTTTTCGACTTCTATTGCCATCGCCTTACTCCCACCTGTGACGATGGCGGGAAATGCGTTGATTTTGGCAGCGGTATGGAGGAATAATTTTGTGAGGACACCTTTTCATATACTTCTGAGAGGTTTGGCTTTCACCGATTTGTGTACGGGAATCGTCGCCCAACCTTTCTATTCTGTAACGTTTTTGATGCGTTCAGTAAATTCAACAGTGGTTTACGACTCGCCAAGACTCCTTACAGCCTTACGTACAATTGGTGAGGGAAGTGGGATGTATTTTATTGCTGTCACCGTTTTAATTCTAACAGTAATCTCCATTGAACGATGGGTTGTTATTTCTCACCGATCGTTCTTTACACAGCGCCGCGCCTGTTTCAAAATCATCGCACTGATGTTAGCTGCGAGTCCCACAGTTATCCTTCGTGTTCTAGAGAATGTAGACATTGGTTATGGACGCTCACTACGATTCATGTTCATTGCTAATATGCTGTCCAGTTATCTTGTTATAACAATGGCAAACTTTAAGGTTTATCGAAGTATTTGTCGCTATCAGAGGCAAATCCAGGACAACACAACAATACATAATTTTGGTAGATCGGCGATAAACGTAGCAAAATACATGAAATCTGTAACGACGTTGGTGCTGGCTTTTTATTTATGTTTCTTTCCATATGTTATCTCGGTTGTGATATATTTTTGGTTTCGGCAACAGGAGCTCAGAAACATATTCCGCCTTTAGAGTGACAGTAGTGTTCGTATTTCTGTCCTCTGCAATCAACCCAGCTCTTTATTTATGGAGAATAAATGATATTCGAAATGGAGTGATAGAATTATTTTGCAGAGTTTAACCATTTGCATGAGAAAAGGGAAGCGAAACTCATCAGTACAAAGTAACACAAAACTAATTCATGACGGAGATAAACGGGCAAGACCACACGTCATTTATTCAATGATCTCCCATACGGGAAATACGATCAGTTGCCTTTACAGGGCCGGAAATTACCTTTTCGGGCAAATATCCAGCATTTAATGACGTGAAAGCCTCGCCTCTGACACGAACGAAAATAGATCAAAAGAAAAAACACTTAGAACTTTAAAACTGGGACTTTAAGCTGAGAACAGCAATGTTATTATAATAAGGGTCATAAAAGAGGGCCCATGCAAGATTTTTATTTCCTTTATTGAAAGCCTTAGCATGCTTTAGTATATTTTCTTTAATATGAGGTGGGCCCAGACTTACTGAGAGCTGACATGGAATACACCTCGAGTAGGCTGACTAGATGTTATAACAGGCTTTGGGAAACTAAAAGATGGCCGGAAGCGTCGAAGAGGGGACTTGTGGTCAAGATATTCAAGAAAGGTGATTTGCATGGTTGCAACAACTGGAGAGGAGTGACTTCCTACCCATCATCAGTAAAATATTTCGTAGGGTGCTGCTAGAACGGATCAAGAAAGGTTAAGACAAGAAGCTTCCGAATAGAAGTACAACTGAACAGATCTTTATATTAAGAAATATCTTAGAAAAAGCAAACGAATGGAGGGCGAGTTCGTACACGCACTTTGTGGACTTTGAAAAAGTCTTCGATTCGGTTCACAGAGAAAGCTTGAGGAACATCATGGGGAGCTATGGAATTCTGCGCAAGATGGTCAGAGTGATGGCAGCCATATACGATGGGTTTGAATGCGCAGTAATCGACGGATGGGAGATATCAGACTGTTTCAAGATTAAGTCGGATTAAGATTAATGTCAGGATCCTTATTCTTACTGGCCATGGATTGGGTCATGAAGAAGACAAGAGCAGACAAGAGAAGAGGGATATGTTGGAATTAAACAACATTGTTGGAGGATCTTGATTTTGCGGACGACATCGCACTATTTTCATCCAAATTTAATGACTTGCGTGATAGGCCTGACAGAGGAAACAGCCAGAGTAAGCCTTAAACTTTATGCCGGCGAGAAAGTGCAAGACACTTAGGACTAAGTTTGCAAGGAACAGGGAGAGCATTGTGGTGAATGATGAAGAAGTGGAAGATGTCGAGGAGTTTGTGTATCTTGGAGCTATTGTAGACAAGGAAGGTGGAGGCAGTAATATTAGTACCAGACTGCAGAAGGCACGAGGTGCATTCCAAAGGCTATGGCAGGCGTGGACAGCTAGATAAATTGGAAGGAGAACCAAGATACAAAGATCAAGACCATAGTCCGACCAGTCCTACTATATGATTGTGAAACATGGAAGATCACAAAGAACGATGAAAGTAAACTGAACAGTTTCCAATGTAAATGCCTAAGACGGATTCTGAGGATTAGATGGCAGCAAAGAATGACAAAAAAGATAGTAGCTGAAACAGCAGAGATCAATGAAATTAGCTGCGAGGTGCGAAGAAGAAGGCGGAAAGGTTAGGACAAGTACTCAGGAGAGAGGATGTGAACGACTGTTTTAGGGTATTGGGGTGGACACCAGAGAGTCGAAGGACGAGAGGGGGACCAAAGACCACTTGGGGAAGGACTGTCGAAAGAGAAAGAGGTAACGTAGGGTAGAAGAGTTGGAATGTGGCCATGGCGGCAAGGGGGGGGAGGGTTGGGGGGGTGATGATGATGATGATATACAGTTCATGGTCAACGTAGTTCCGGTAATAAGGATCGATTTCCCTATTTTCTTAGCCGTCTCACCAGAAAAACAGAAACAGATCGGTGTTAGAAACAACAATTCGTTTCATTTAACAACTAAAGTTCACTGGCTCTGAGCAGGACCTATGAAACATTGAAGGACAATGATCCACAAAAGACACAAAAGGTTAGCTTATAAAGTCATCTTGATGGAATGAAAGTATGTTGTGGATTACGAACCTGTCAATGGGTAAGTTGATTTCCTCTGAATTCAGGAATGGTTCCATTGAAAATATTTCTTAGCCCTTGATGATAATTTCCACTGTAAACAAAGCATGTACAAAGATTTATAGAGCAA